CCCTTTAGGGCACGTCCTCACTGTACACTACGAGTGAACACTACAGGAATCCTTCATGGATATCCAGTGGGTCCAGCAATGGGCACAATGGGTACAAACCGCTGAGTCAACATGCACAAGACTATTCTAGAACGTTCCAGACCTGGTCACATGTCCCTACATCACGACCACAAGGTCACATGCCATCACGTGCCTACCACATGACTGGTCACGTGCCTATCCCTCTATCCATCCCACATCTCCATCGTCGAAGTGGCACCTGGGGCCACAATGCCTGCAAGGCGCGTACACTCCTTAGAAACGCCGAGAAATAACGAGTTAGGTTTAGCCCGAAGGCCGTTTCAGCGAGGGGGAGTGTTGAACGGTGGCTATGCCCGCCGGTCCGGCATGTATTCACATGACGCAATACTGTAGTTTTTCGCGCACAAGTTCGTGTCCCGTGTCCCATGGGAGCCGCGAACGAACTTGTGCCGCGGGACAGTCCCACCCCATTGACGTGCACTGAACTTATAAATGGGACAAACCAAAATTTGACAAAAATTTAATGAAAATGTGAATATACTCTAGGCTCCTAAATTGACCTCAGGAAGGCCCCCACGGCACACTTTGGGCTAGATTTTACTACTGGGTGAGCTCTTCCACCCCAATGCAGAGGATGAATGGCTGTTGAGCAGTTATGAAAGGTCGTATTCCTGAAAAAGCGTCGATGTTCACGAACATTGTCCCTTGTCCCGGTCTGCTTGCGAACCGGGACGCGAACGGATTATGTCATCTCGGCAACGGCCGAGGGGCGGTGGCGTGAACTTGTGCGCGAAAAAGTACAGTACTCATTATTTCTTATTGTTCTTTCGCTCTCACGCGTCCAGCTGTATAGTATTACTTAAGGCTGTACGCTCTGCATGTATATAAACCCCTGGGCATTCGCCCTGTAATCTTAACTACTTTTCTCGCCTCTCCAACCACTGCGTGCTATCAAGCCACTCAACCCAAGCCTTTACTCCAGGTAAGTACTGAGAGCGGTACCACTACGTTAACCCTCCGCTGCTCAACAACCAGTGCTGAGTTGGACTCGGACCCTCATCCCGAAACGTGAGCATTTCTGAGTGCATATACGAGTGTGGATCACTGCTCAACGTGTCTGCCTTTATAAGTTGTTGTTTCTACCCCGCCGGTATGTTTCTTGCCTTGTTGTTGGCAGACGAGATGGTCTTGACTTAATCGCTATTGAACTATTGTAGACGTCGAGAAATAATGCCCTTACTCGTAAGCGAACAGCTCGGAATGTATGCACAATTGCCTTCTGACAACATTTTGCGTTTCTTCGATGCTCACCCGTGATGTTTGGCCATTTCCCCGTAGTCAAATCAGTTTACGTTACTGCAACTGGTAGAACATGCGACTGGTAGAACAAAGGTGAATTGTATGATCTAGTTGTTGAAGTTTGTAGAAATAGGGCAAGTGTGTAGCAATTCGCGACAATTCAGTCCATTGATTTGGGGCGCGAAAAGCGCGCACTCAGAATACTGTACTTTTTCGCGCACAAGTTCGCGCCACCGCCCCTCGGCCGTTGCCGAGATGACATAATCCGTTCGTGTCCCGGTTCGCAAGCAGATCGGGACAAGGACGATGTTCGTGAACATGGACACTTTTTCAGGGATACGACCTTTCATGACCGCTCAACAGCCACTTATGCTCTGCATTTGGGTGGGGGAGCTCACCCAGTAGCAAATCTGGCCCAAATTGTGTCTTGGGGGCCTTCCTGAGGTCAATTTAGGACCCTAAAATATATTCTCAAATATTTGTCAAGTTTTTGTCAAATTTTGGTATGTCCCATTTACAAGTTCAGTGCACGTCAATGGGGTGGGACTGTCCCGTGGAAAAAGTTCGTTCGCGGCACCCATGGGACACGGGACACGAACTTGTGCGCGAAAAAGTACAGTAATAGGATTGTTGCGAGATAGTGCATTCGATCCTCGACATGCCTACTATGATTCTTGACTTCTCTTCATCACAATACTGGAAAGAAGGAAGAAGCTCTAAAGCACGCTCCCCGGAAGACAGAACAAGTCAATCGTCTAAACCAAAAGAACAACTCGAACAAATTATCTCGAGATACATACACTCCTTCCTTCTGCCTTCTCCCCTCTCTGCCTTCTCCCCGTATAAGTAAGGATCGCTATGCATGCCAATAAGTAGCTGCCAAGCGTCAGTTACAAGATCGTCTAGGTCAAACCATGTCGAATTACAAAAGAGTGGGGTGACGCCTAAAGAGGCCTACGCCTTTTCTCGAAGACCCATGATGAACGGACTGTGGAAAGGGCGCAGGGGCGGCCCTCGTGCTAGCCTGGGCTGCACCCAGCATTTCAACCTCATTCGCGACACAATATCCCTTCAACAGCAACATGTCGATCTCGTCCAAACAGACCTCCATCCCCGACTCTCAGCGCGAAAGCACCATCCAGCTGCAACGGGCTCTATGAACCCGGTCCGGCTCAGCGAGTGAACGTTCGCGAGAAGCGATCCTAGGCGGTTTGAAGCGAGACGAAACGGCGCGGTGAAGACATGGGCAACGATTCCGATGTGGCGTATAAAAGACGATGGATGGGCACTCGACCCTCGTCGTCGAAAAATGACCAAGAAGTGATGCGAATGGCGTTTCGCATGGTTCTCATTCGTAGAAAGTCGATCCACCGCGAAGTAAACGTCGGCGCAGCATGTTTGGTCACCAGTGTGGCGATGAGCTTCAGAGTTCCAGTCGATACATTGCGAGCGCCAGCCAAATAGACAGTACATGAGATAGCAGAACAAGGACAGACCACCCAGCGCGAACCCAAACGATCCAGGTCCGAAGTAGACTAATAGTAAGGATACACCAGGCGAGGTTGATAAAAACATTTGGGCAATTGGACACAACACTATCGTAGCAATGATAGAAAGGGAGAAAGAGGAGCAGCAGAACAATTGATGACGATGCGATGACACAACAATATCATACCAGGGAGTCACGAACAATAGCGATAAGTGAGAAGCAAGACACGACAACGAGATATGCAAGCAGAGGACAGCGGAATACGACGAACTATCAGAGCAATGGAGAGGGAAGAGATGGCGACAAAAATAAATGAATACGCGACGAAGGAAAAGACCAGTTCCTACTACTGGACCCGAGCAGAAGGCCCAGCGAATGCCATCGGGAAAGGCTTGAGAGGCCGAAGATAATTCAACGTCAACGACCAGGCTCAAGAGCGACAACACCAGAAAGTTGACTTACATCCCACCCAAGATCCCCATACTCGTCGTTGAGGTCGGGAGAGCTAAATTATGATCGGTCATACTCCTCGTTCTCCTCCTCGCTCCCCTCTTCGCTCCCCTCTTCACCCCCCTCTTGCTCAGGACTCGAGGAGGGCTTCAAAAAAGATGACAAAGTCCGACATTAGTCGCATCCCAGAGAGATGACCACGAGAAATGGACTCACGATCCAGCCTAAAAGCCCCCACTCGTCCATTAAGTACGGAGAGCTACCACGATCGGCGTACAAGTCGGCGTCAGCCGCGGCGTCGTGCGCCTGCTCCTCCGCGGACAGTGGAAACATGACCCGCTGCCTCTCGATCTCCTCGGGGTCGTACGGTTTGTGGAGTCGTGAGCCCCTTATTGGCGGTAAGCCAACGTCGTCATCCGACTCATCGTCGGAGCTTTCGTATGGGACTAGCCTTCGAAGCTATAATCGAGTAGTTTGGTTAGCAATCAGCGAAAACCAGTCAGATTGCTGGTATCGATCTCACCGGTACGGGCGGGACATCATCCCCACTCGATGGCCCACTGAGGATGAGAGACCCAGGGCCGGACTCGATCTCCTCTTTCTTGACCTGCACGTACTCCGCTCTCCTGGGCAACGGCTTGATGGGCCTTCCATCCTCTGTGTCGGAGTCTTCGGACTTGACGGGCATCTCCCACTCCACACGTACCCTGCGGACGACCCGCGACTCGCCGGGCCGAAGGGGGGTGAACATGTAGGGATGTAAAATCCCCTGCGGTTGGACGTGCACCAAGAACGGTGCGTATACTGGCTCCTGCTGTCCATTGTCGTAGGTGGGGATTACGGCGTCGATGGGCTCCTCTTTCACGTGCTCATACGCAGGGAGGGGAGCATCTACAGGTTCCTGCTTAACGCAGTCTGCGGGAATGGAGGAGTCGACAGGTTCCTCCTTGACCTGGACGTGGGGGATGTAGGTCGTCTCGTCGAAAAGACGCTGCCTCTTATGGGCCGGCGCTGTCTCCTCATCGCTACTGGCTTCGTCCTCGGTGTCGTATCTTCGCTTGATTGAAGGCAAAGACGTCTCCTTCAGAAGGGGTCGTGGATTAGGCCAGGGTGTCGCCGGGCGTGGTGGGACCCACGGCTGAGCGGAATGCTGTATACATAGGGGATGCATAGATGGACTAAGTATCTGCTGGAAACGGTGAAAGAAAAGCTCGCAGCAACTTACATCAGAGGGCACGGGAATATCGTTGAGTGCCTTGCGGCTGACTTTCGAAGACTGTTGCACGGTGTCATGAGGCTTGACACGCTGAAAAACGGAGAGAAGACGAGCTTACAGAACATGTAAAAGACATCGAAAAAGGTTTGAGGGATATTTGAAGGTTGGGTTATGATTCGTTGCTGTGCAATGGCAGACAACACAACGCCCGTCAAATCAAGTGACTCGATACACGATCCCGGACACGCAACACCGACTCACCAGAGATGTGGATTGAGCTTGGCTAGCTGTTGGAAGGACTGGTGGGCAGGTCTTAGAGTTTTCTTGCTCAGTTGGGGGCGAAGCTACATACAGATGTCAACACGATCAACAATCGCTCGCCAAAGCCGAGCCACCCGATAAACGACCACGGACGACCGACGCCCACTCACCAGAAACGTATATAGTACTCTTGCTGGACGATTGAACTCTACTGCTAATCGAGTCTATGTGGTCTCTTGTTCTGCCAAGAGTGGATTTCTGAAAGGCAGATAGGTGTCAACGACGACCGCCAAACTGAGCCACTCGATGCCCGACACCAGACCAGCGACACCGACTCACCAAAAACGACGATCGCAGGCTATCGAGACGATGAGAAGACGACTGATGGTGTGTTGTCAAAGTGCTGGGAGCTCTCTTGCTTGATCAAGGGCGATTCTGTGTAAAAAGGCATGGGTCAACGATGGCGAACTAGATCCCCCAACCGGACGCGCTCACGACCAAGATGAGAGGAAAAAGGACGAAATACTCACGTGCGCGTTCAGATTTGTATGGATAAAAAGTCGGATGGTGGTATGCGAAACAATAAGCGATTTGCGGGCGCAGTTGATTGTGTGTCAACGGGGTGGGGCGAGAGGTGAAGTGGAAGGCGGCGAGAGAGCTGGCACTGCCCGGGATATATTCCGGCGTCGCCCCGGCCCGTGCCGCACGCATCGATCCGGCTGGGCTCCGGCAACTCTGCTCGTCAACGCTGTTGACCATGGGCTCTACGATTGCACCAATGCAACTCCCAAGTCGCGAGGACGACGATATGCGATTTATACACTGCCGGTAAGTCATTCTTCTTTTATATTCAGTAAAAGTGGTTGTGTCAAGATTTGCGCGATCGGCATCCAGATTAGGCATACCGTAGACCTGACTGATTGCTGATGCCGTCCCACATCGCTCTCAGCCAAATCTTCGAGCATTTTTGTCCAGCAGCTGGATCGTCGTTCGCAGCCCTCTCGCTGATTGAGTCACATATGATAATGGCGACGTACCATGGTCTGAGTTGATAAAGTTGGACTCACCTTGGGCTGGGAGCAATCGAGATATGATCCCCCTTCCGATTCCTGGACATGCTCGAGTAGGGACCTGTTCGTTCCCAAGTCGGATCGCGGGGATCGCTCATTTCGATGCTCCACGCCATGATCAGTCTGAAGTCTCTGTGACGAGAAACAGTGAAGATCGAGTTTCACTCGAGTTCTGGCTTCTTCGCACAGAACATGCTCTGCGACATTTTTACGGACAAGCAGACTTAGCAGGGAGCCCCGTCTTCGCAGAAAGGGTGTTTCTGGAAGTTTAATCCGACCAGGCGTAACGATCAGATTACGCATAGACTTACCTACATGCCGTGGGGAGTCTTCGGTCATGCTATAGCATCTGAATCGCCCTAATGTCCTGAGCGAAGGAAATCTCACTAAAACACCATTGCTTGTGATCTACACCTACTTATCTCTATCGAGGGTCAGAGATTTGGTGTTCGCAGAGCACTCACGGTGTCTCTGCGAATCCAAAGACGTACCTTGTGAGGAGATGTCGTGGCTGCACCGCTTTCGCATGGTTTACCCCACAGTGCCTAAGTGACATACTTGATACACACAACAAGGTCAGCTCCAAAGTCGTCCTCACCAATGAGAGCATGAGCCTCATCGACTGCAAGACGGGCAACAAGGTTCAGAATCTTTGTGTGTTGCCTCCGAGAAAGTGGTTCGATCAGCTGCACCGACCGATCCTCACATGGAAAGAGTACGCTCGTGATATAGTCAAATTTTCGTGACTTACGGAACCATGCGACGTTGCAATTGATTGCCCTTCATAGGGCAGCGCTCGGTGAGAATTTGTCCACCCCCAAGCGGGAATGCCCACTGATTGCTGCCCGCTCGAGCCACAAGTCATCCATGAGGTGCCAAAGACCACCGTCTGAAAGCAGGTGGGGATGTAGTTCGTGAAGCAACATCGGAATTGCGTGTCGCTTAGAAGGTTTTCCACCTTGGAAGGCTTTCCACGGGGCTATATGAGCACTTTCGACAAGCACATGAAGATGTACCCCAGATTCTTCCTCGCATCAAGACAGTTCGACCTGGTCAACCGCTAGACTAGCCATGACGTTCGCGCAGGCCCGGATTGTAAAAAATCTGCATATGACTTATGGAGTGGTTCTGTGACCACGCACTTTGGGCGCCCAAAGTGCGACGTTGGCTTCGTGACCTCGCGACTGGACTTGTCGCGCTCCTAGGCCATGATACTGACACGGTTCATGAATGGACTCCATCGAGGGGCTGGACAACGCATGGTTGATTGGAGGGGGAAATGGTATGGAGGCGGAGGCTGCCAAGAAGCTATGAAAGACCGCACCTGTGACTAACCACAATGCATCGGTTGTCCCGCGCCACCGAACACTGCGTGCTATCTTTCTTTCAGCGACAATAAACGCCGAGAACATTCCGGGTATATCAGCCTTACTGGACATTAGGGCGAGGTATGTTCGACGCACATTCATCCACCACGACCGATGCTGCTAACGTTTCCCGATGGTGTGGATAAGTGTGATCCAACGGTCCGTTCCTTCCAGAATTCCTTCGAAACGGTTCAGGGGGCGTAATGGAGTATGTGGTGTTGTTGGATGTTCGAGAGATGGTGACGTTCGCGCGAAGAATTCATTGTACGGCGATCAGTGTGGCGTACATGACGGGAGGAATCGGAGGGCTTGAACGATGTTTTTGGAGTCCTAAAAGAAGACATTTCTTTGGCGCATTTTGTAACGGCTCCATGTATGCTAATTGACGTTAGAAATAGTTGGATTCAACCAGAAGTTCGACATGGGCTTACAGTAACATGAACTGGACGAGGTACGTTCGTCGCCGAGACGTGGTCTACAAAAGGCAGAAAAAACAGGATCATTTCGCCTAGGCGATATATCGAGGAAAACACTTCAGGACTGTGCGTCGAGAAAGCAGGTTCATAGGATACGGTTCTCGAGGACAATGGAGGGAACCACAACCTTTCTCGCTAGCCAGCCGAAAATGAGGGTGACGTGTGAACGCAGTGTTGAGGCGCCAGTAGGTTGGCTCGGCGATCACCGCAATGCACGAAACAAAGACCCAGAGTGGCGTGTCGGATACACAAAGACCGCGCCATACACGTCGATGTCGAAAAAGTGAAGCATTATTCCTGTAACTGATAGCGGAAGTGAATACAACGCTCCACTAAGCTCTCTGCCAGTGGGCCGAGCATAGAGGTAGATTATTTTCAATTCGGGATCGTGGCAGATTCATGTGCGATTACAGTACAAACACACGTCAGAAAGCAAGAGGTGCGACGTTATATGTCCAAAGGCCAAATTGGGTAGTGTTTTGTTTTCAAGAAGATGCTACACTGACGAGCTTCAACTTACCACCGAAGATTACCGTAGGCCTCCCGCCGATGTTCTGATTTGCAGCAGTGTGGCGCAAGTAGTATCACACCCATGAACTCCAAAATGTATGCGCTTCGGTAACCAAAAAAGCACAGCGACACAGAAGATGATGATAAAAACAAATGCTGATCAAAACAACATGACTAAAAACGAGCCCACTCCCGAAATAATCCAACCGTACGGGGGTTCGTTAGCAAATACAGCGACACGACGGAACAGACATAACACCACAGTACCTGCCCAGACCCAGTCAAGATGAGAGGGAAGAAGGTGAAAACACGGACGAGAATAGCACCAAAGCAGAGCGATGTGAGAAGTACATATGGACAACGATATGGAAGCTGGATGTGATAAATCCAGCATAAATATAGTATGCAAGGAGGAGTCGGAGTAACACCGAAGCAATGAGGAAAACAGAACAGAGCAGTAGTACAGAGCGATAAAAAATGAACAGACATATAACACGACAATCAAGGATGATGATGGTGATGATGGTGATGATGATAGAGATGGTGCCACCTGGTCTGAGGCATTCATCGGCGGCGAGTGTTCCAACCACGTCCACGCAAGATAGGTGGGGGCGGTTCCGTTCTGTGCCTGTAGGAACCTGTTAACGACAAATTCTCAGGTTTGACTGTTGAGCGAAAGCTTACCTCCTCCCCGTCGTCCTCAGGATACGCCTGAAGGACGACTCACCCTCCTTCTCGTTCTCCTTATCGGAATCCCCACCTTGACCCGGCAGATTATGCAGACCTGGCTATAGCAGACAAATCAAAACATGAGTTCCATCCTTGAAACATAGACATCAACAGATTGACTCACGTTCCAACCGAGGGTTCCCAAGCCGTCATCATCCGATGGAGGCTCGTCAGGAGTGAATTCCTGGGCCACAGGACCTTCCTCGACAGCGCCATCCCCATCCTCTGAGCCCTGCCCAAGAGGAACAACCTCCTCTTGCTCATCAGCCTCGTTCGAAGCTTCCCTAGTCTCTGAACTCGGCTCACCAACCACCTCACCACCCTCCTGATTGGAGACGTGGTCAGGTTCAGGCTGATCGCCTTCCGCATCCTCACCGTGGACCGCGCCACTGCCCAGCCCATCTTCTCCCCGAACACTCTCCTCCCCTGGACCTTGCTCTCCAGCGCCTGCATCCTCCAGAGCTTCCGGCTGTTCGCCCTCCTCCTCCTCCTCACCTTGGGCCGTGTTATCATCCAGGCCACCTTCAACCGAAGCACTATCCTCCTCCGCCGATCCTTCATCACTACGCCAATACTCCTCGTCTTCCCGGTCGTATAGCTCCTGCTCCTCCTTGCTCATAGGGTACACCCTCTCCAGCCGTTCCCACTCATCCTCCGGCTCATCTGTACCGAAATCTCGGACAGGTGACTTGGGGCTTGGTGACTGTGAACGGTAGGATCCGTGAGCCAGCATGAAAGACAAATCATATAAATTATATGGATCGCACCTGTGGGTCTGCAGGGGCCTCCGTCTGGGCGAGGACCCCGTTCTCGGAGGGGTTCGACGAGATCTCCTCCACGACATGAGCATCGGCAAGGCTTTCTTCATCCGCGTCTGAGTGGCCACTAGCCAAGGTTGGCAGGATGTCCTCTGATGACGGTACAGACATACGATGCTGCCTCTTTGGTGATGGAGGCTTCTCGTAATCGCTGTCACTGTCCTCATCTCCTTCGTAGCCGCCTACATTGGTTACGATGGCGGCTCCACGCCTTGTACGCTTACGTGGGGATCTTCGCCGTTCGGGAAGACGCGATGACGAGGGCGTGGAGGGGCGTGGTGGAGAGGAGGGCAGGGCGATGTTCTGGGAGAAAATTTACGAATCGCCTCAGGATCTAGTTTACGCTGCGTAAGAGTGCTTCGCGGGACTTACTTCGCCTCGTGGGGTACCTGTCGTACTGCCAGACACAATACGAGAACGGGTGGGAGACTATCGGACAGTGTACGGTACGGAGTCAGACGCCATGGCACACTAAACAGTTGAAGGAGCCTGAACTCACCAATGGATTGGTTGCCATTTGTATTGTTTATTGTTGCCTGTGACTGACAAGACGGGGATCAACAATCGATATCCAACTGAGCCACTCGATACACAACCCCGGACGAGCGACACCAACTCACAATAAACGATGATCGTGTGTTTGCTAGACGATGACAAGCTAATAAGGAAGCTTTCGTTCGAATCTTGGGGTCTTTGCTGCTTGATCTAGAGCGATTCTGCGCAAAAGAGCAAGGGGGTCAATGTCGCCAGGCCAGATCGCCCTCGCATACAAGCCAGGCGATAAAGAATGGGCAAAAGCACTCACGTGGACCTCGAGATCTATACGATATGAAATGCTCGGAGTGGCCTGTTACTGAGACAATACTGTTTGCGTGTGTGTAGCTGGCTGTGGCTGAAGGAGCCTGTGTGTCAGAGATGCGGGGTGAAAAGACGGTGAGGGGGTGCAGCGGTGGCTGCCCGGGGAATATTCCGGCTTCGGCTTCGGCGTCGGCGCCCACCCGTGCCACACGCGGCGTGTCTCTGGGCTCTTGCTCTCTCCCTCTGCTGCAACTCATCCGTCAACAACCTTTTGGAACAAAAGCTCGACAACTTCTGATAGTTCTGGACGTACCGACTTACGATCCATGATACCTGGTAAGTGGATTGCTCTTGCACTGTAGCAAGCGCACCTGCGACAGGATCTTCGGGATCGGTGTCCGAATTGGGCAGTCTGCAATTCGCGATGGCCGACGCGTACTCTCATCCACCCGTTTTGTGCTGTTTTGTCCCAAAAGTGAGTGTTCGTTAGCCGCGATCTCCTTGATTGAGCCCCCAGCGGCTACGGCCACGTACTGTTGTTCTGGCCGACCAGTGTGAAGCATTCTTTGGGCTCACCATTGGTTCGCTTAGATGCGATTTCACTACGATTTGGGCGATAGGAAAGTCTCCTGAGCTCAATCGCAGGATCGCTGGGCTTGGTCGTCAGCATCATCAGTCAGTTAGTCTGTGGTCGTCGATACTGGCGGACACAGAAGCTCGAGCTTTGCTTGACCTCTGGCTTTCCCTCCAGATTGTATTCTACTGCATCGTTATGACACCTCGCCTGAGACCCTTCTGCGCAAGATGAGACTTGGCTCTGAATGGGTATACCACGATCATGCCATACTGATTGATAGTTGCATGGCTAGAGCCTCGTTTCCCACCGGATTCCTTTGGTCAACGCCATTGTTTGTGCTTCAAAAAATGAATCACGATCTAGACATGCAGACGTTACGAGGCATCCGCTTCGCGAACTGGAAGTTTACCACCCAGCATCGTCTACTTGCGCCACAGTCCATCCTGTGGTACGCGTAAGGGCTGAACGCAAAGAGACCGCCGTTTCCAAACATCTTTTCCTCATACCGCCGACAGATGCATGTCCTGTTCGAAAGGTCTGCGATGAGCACGCATTTTCACGGGGAACGAATGGATGCTTCATGCGTCTTATCGCCGGAGCGACTGGTGACCACGAATTTGAACATAACCCAGACCCCGAATACTCTATACTTGTCTGGGGTTCTATGACCATGAGCTTGGATTGCTCAAAGTGGAGCAGTCCAGCATCGTGGTCATATATTGCCTCACGACTAGATTTATGAGGAGCCAGATCGTGCAAGATCGATGCAGCAGGGCGTGTGCTGGCATAGGTTCATCGTTGACGAGATGTGGACAGATGTGGGCGCGTCTGACCAGAGATTTTGGGACTGGGACGGTCGGTTCGAGATGATGAAGGTGTTTGGCCTATCGGGAGGGGCGAGGACAGGCTAACCGAGCAGCACGAAGTCAGAACGCACCTTTCGCTGACCACGCATTGAGCGAAGCCTTATCCATGGAATGATGTCCTTCCTTCAACAATGAGCATGGCCGGAGACATGTCATTTTGATCAACATCAATGGCTAGAACTGACGTATACAGGACGCACCATTGTTGACCACGGCTGGTCGTCGCGATGGCTCCGATGAGCATGGTCCGATTCGCCGTCCCGACCAAGGACTCCGGAAAATATCGTGATACTAAAATGTTCGGCATTGGATATCTTGAGGGGGAGGTATGGCCTTCGTCGTATGTCAAATCGTATGGCGTGCAAGGTTGAACCAATATGGTATTTCTGGGGCGTTGATCGTCGCAATAGGAGCTCCTGGGATGTTCAAAGTCAGGGACAACTTTATGGATATCCTCTCTCATAACAATGAACTGAAGGAACCGCAACTATGGGAAATAATACCATGCGAAGTCCGGTATTGCATGTTCGTTGTCGTTGCGTGGCGCTGAGAATGATGGTAAAATGAGGGGTAAATGGGATTTCGTACCCGGGAAGTGTGCTGGGTCAGAGTTCTCATACCACCGACAATAAAATGGACTTGTATAATCACGCCCAGCAGTAGCAGGGGACGTGACCAGCCTCTCTTCGTGGACAAACCAGCAGAAAACAGGTATGACGGGAGAGACAAAGAGATGATGCGCCCGCAGATTGGCTCGGCCTCGAGGCCTGAGCCTTTCGGAAACCTCCGGCCCAGTGCGTGGCGTGTCGGGTTGTCGTTGTGTCTCCGAGTCTGTGTCCCCGCTGTCGAGTACAAGAGCCAAATACCGATAGTGACACAGACAATTTGATTTCTGGACTGTTTCGCAAGATATTTTCTCATAAGATCACGTACAACTCCCTTGGATAGCTGTTACTGGAGTAAAGTTTGTTATTTTACACAGAGGGTCGGGTATCGCGAACTCGAGGTCGATATGGGGGAGCCCCAAATATCCAGGTATGGCATGGCCGGGTTGCTCGCAAGGTTAAGAGCTTCTTATGGATGCACACATCCCATTCCATACATCAATACTCGTCTATAAGTACAGATGACACCTGTCATTCTTTCGACTCAAGCGATTCCAGGCCCTGCTTTCATGCCGTGCCACCTCCAGGTCTCGGCAATTCCAAATGTTCAGGCCCAAAGCTATCTGGTAACAGTGCCTCCACAGTCGTCTCTTTCAATTCCGCAGCAGCGTTGAAGCCATAATCCGATGGGACGAGTAAGACGGGCATACGGAGTGCACAGAATTCGCGGATGACTTGACGACAGATTCCACAGGGAGAAATAGCTTGAGCTACGTCGCTGTTGGGTCGGTGATGTGAGTGAGATGAGCCTCGATGGAAGTAAAAGAGAGGAGGACAAGGGGGGATGGGTTTTGGATACCTTGTGACGGCAAGGGCGATGAATGAACGAGTGCCTTCGCTCTGTGAACGATACCATCAGGCTTTAGTACAAGACGATCTTGTGCTCAAGATAGCGATGATCAAATTCAACGTACAACAGCTTTGACAAGCGCCGTACGTTCTGCGCATATCGTTCCTCCTACATATGTTTGTATGTCAGAAACACAGTACTCGCAGGTATTCAGACAAAGAACTGTACCGTAAGACGCATTCTCGATATTGGCGCCTTTGACAATGCTTCCATCGACGGCCAACAGAGCAGCACCGACACGGAACTTGGAGTATGGGCTGTAGGAACCTTCTTTCGCTGTTGAACATGTAAAGCAAAAAAAAATGCAGCAGGAGGTCAGTGCTCGGCACACAGCACGGGTTTATTGGGAAACTCGAAGAAAAGACGCATATCAAGCCGAGAAACACAATCATCCATGTATAAGAGTTTAAGGCGATTCCATTAAGGAAGCCTGCACGGTTGCCACCGGTGCTGGGATGCATAAGAAATCGGTACATCAAACTGACAAACCTTCGATGGCAGCCTGTATCAAGCGCTCTCGATCTTGGATCGGGAGAGAGATGGCAGAGGCTTGGGCGGACATGACAGGGCTAGAATATCGTCGTTACATCAGCTTTATTATATGAGCTTTTTACGCCAATGAATGAGGGGCTACTATACCGTTCTTGAAGTAAGTAGTCGGTGGTGAAGGAGATCTGAACTTGACCCGGAGGCGGAACGTGGGGCGATCGGATGTCGGAGATAAGATAAGATTTGGCTACTTGTGGCGAACTCATCACAGTTCCGCCGAGGTGGCGTGGTTCTCGGTCTCGGGTTATGGAACGCATAGATGTGTGTACGCTGTGTATATTGTATCGTCAGGCCTCAATGTGTGAACAATGAACAGAAGGAAATATGTCATTAATTCAACGAATACTTTAAAAGTAGACTGTCAGTGAGTAAGTAGTAAGAGTACCCTCAGTTCAAGCGACGAAGCCTCACTCGTTGCTTCTGTCCGAGTCGACAAGCCCAATAAACCTCATCCGTCGACCACCCCCTCCATCCGATGCCCGTTAGCAAACATCGCACCCAGGCCACTCTCAGCAGCCTGCCACCCATTCTCCTGCGTCATGCCCAAGGCCCTCTCACCAAGCACGCCCCATTGTACCCACCAATCCTCCGCCGCATCCCGCGCATCGTACCCCCACACCTCGAAGATCTCCTGAAACTGCGCCCTCAGCGTCAACTCGTTCTCATCATCCCCTCCATCTGCTCCCTGACTTTCCCCCTGTCTCATTCGATTTCTCGCTTCCTGCTGCTTGATAGCGGCCCTCTTCGCACACTCCCATGTTTTATTCCGCGCATCTCGTTTTGGGCCGGGAGGTAATCGCAGTGCGTCAAGATTGGAAAGTTCCAGTGTGTGGAGGGATAAGGCGCGCGGCTGGCGGAGTTCTTGGTATGCGTAGAGGAGGGATGTAATTTGGGACGGGTGGCGGAGGTGTGAGAAGAGGGTCCCGAGGACATGGGCATCCTCGAGGGGGAGTGTGGGGACAGGGAGACCATTGGGCTGGTGACGAATGGCGTGACGAAGATTATCAGATTAAATTGGCTATAAAAAGGGTGGAGCTACGAACGGTGAGAGGATGAGCGGCTTCGCCTATGAGCATGAGCCGTTCGGAGTCGTCTACCCATGATTCTGCGTGGGTTTTTGTTGAAGATTTGATGCGTACGAGGTTAGGTATCCGATCAAGAATCGCCCGTATTCTGTCAGATTAGGGTATGAGAGTCTTTTAGAAGGACAAATCGGACTAGAACTAACCGTGGCTCAAACGCGGAGCGATCCAGGATACTTGGAGGGATCGCTGTGCTCCATCCCTGTGGTGCCTCATCATCTAGCTCTTCGTCCTGCCATAGAGCGAAATTCCACGCGGTGTCGTTTTGCTATGGTAATGCGTAACGTGTTATCGTTCCCTGTAGAACCGCATTGAAGACTTAGAGCTTACCACTGGATAACCTATGAAGATCATAACAAACACTCTGGTCAGGCACCCTCTTCAGTCAAGACAAGGTCAAAATAGGCGTACTCATAGCTTGACGCCCATCTCCCATCCAGATCACAGACCGAATCTCGATCAACTCCTTCAAGTACTCATCCACCCTCATCCTCTCAACCGGAATGGTCCCCGTATAAAACACGGTGCTGGTCCGTGACGAAGGTGCCGGCATGGTGGCTACGTCCTCATCCACGATCTCCCGCATAATGCTGCCCGCCCCATCCGCCCCTATGATGATGTCGGCCTGGTACACCTCCCCAGTAGCCAGTGTCACGGAAGGACGAGAAGGATCATAGCCTGTGGTCGAAGACGACGATGATGACGTGTATTTGCCTTTGTAGTTGAGCGGAGGAGAGATGGAGATGATGTTTGCGTTGGATGTGATTTCGACGCCTGAGGAAAGGGCAAGAGCATACAACATCTCATGCAAATCTTGATGCTACGAAAATAGAACGAACAGGCGTCTAAGCGGCTATTTGGAGATGTGCAAATAGAGGTGAAAGAGAGATACGAACGCGGATTAATAGAAGGGGAGCTCCCACTTCGTGGAGTACCTCCTCTTGCCAGCTCAACAGTCCGATATTTTCGCCGGTCTCCACTAAAAGCCGGATTCAGACATTTGTCTCAGACGAGTAGAACATGGTGGGATCTAAAGATTCATAGACGCTCACTATCGATGAAGTCGGTCGCCTGCAATGACGACGTCCGTCTTTCCAGCTCTTCCGAAAGTCCCCACTGCTGCAGAACCCGAACACCATTAGGCGTGAAGCGGAACCCGCCTCCCACCGAGCTTGTACCCGTCGATGATTTTTCGAATACGCGTACGCGATGTCCTGAGGAGGCGAGGGCGTGTCCGGAAGCAAGTCCTGCAATACCTACCAGATCGCCAACACAGAATTTAGTTCGTGATTTACTTCAATAAAATCGGTGGTCTTACCTCCTCCGACGATGATAAAGTCCAACTTGAGAACTGCTTGTCTGTGATGCTCCATGTCGTATGTTCGGTGACTGGGTAGCCAAACGATCGACGATGATCTCGAGCTAGAACCGTCTCTTAATGTTGAGCGGGGAGTGGGATCAGCAGAAGGGTCAACCCAAAAGTCAACCCGTAGTCGACGTGAGAGCATCCAGTATATATAACCTGCTCACGTCCACGGCAGTCAGCGCGATCTATGCCGAGCACAAGTGCATAATCATAAGGTTGGGAAGAATAGAACACCCGAGCCCTCTGTAGGTGAGTAATTGAAGCTGGAGGTGAGAAGATGTACCACGAATCCGAACGATGACGAGTCGGACGGGCCCGGTGGTTACAGTCTGGATCTTCTTTGGGGTATTCGAAGCTCTTCGTGACCGGGATACGGTGGTGATCGTTCGCAGGGGAGAAACACCGATGCTCTGCGGGAGTACTTATTAGCAGTGCAGTTTGTTTGCCTATGCGCAACAATGTACAATGTCAGAAGATGTGGCCAGAAAGACGAGTAGAACTTCATCGTTAGACTTACTGCACTTATTACGTTCGAGGCCAAAGCTCATACGAGGTCGAGAGGCGGGAGAATAAAGTCTAAATCGGGGTCAGACGTATCACGGTCCATTCAAATGTCTGCGCCCTGCCGTTACAATCATCATTGTGCGATCATATCGCGAGACGACGCCGATGTCGTGAAGAAAGCGTGAGTGTCATCAGAAGCCCAATGTTTTTGCAGGCCCATAGGCGACTTATGTCACGGCTGAGGCGGTGGGACTTCCGACCATGGCCTTCGAACATAACGTGAGCCGTGAAGAAGACCTCAACGAGCATGCCGTGTCGTTGTGGACGGCGGGTTATGAATAGGTCGGCTGAGCACCTGTGAGCAGAGACTTAGTCCAGCTTGTGGTGCGACAATGATCAGGAGTAGCAGGGAGAAAGGATGGTCTCGGGCCTCAGGACCTTGGTGTCCAGACTATGGTGTGAGCAGAAAGAACTTCTCTGATGGGGTTCCTGACCACCTAAATCGCATGGACTGCCGGCAGCTGAGAGCCATCATCCTTGTGGCGTTGCGGGCGACGGGGCTCAATGGGGATAACAACCTGACGCCAGTTCAAGGGAGCAACCCAAGACCGGGAGGTTCAGAGGCCCACAGCAGGGAGACCATTATATGGTTCCGGAACGACATATCCTCCCTACTTGCTAGCCGGGTGTCACGGAGAAATGGAAGCGAGCCCGTCGTCCCTGCCTACTCAAGTCGCTCCGCAGCAGCTGTTCATCACGAACACCTGTATTTGAGCCATGGACCAAATGAAAGGATGGCATGAAGATGTTCCAGAGTCCCGGGACAGGTTTTTGCAGGGCTAGCCTAAGATGTTTGCTGAATATCAGTTATGATAGTAGACCATATCTGCAACGGGAAATTTGGACGATTTTCTAACATTTAGGAGTTGGGTTTATACGTTCGTCCTTCTGGAAGTGAGCCAAGCTTGATTTTTTGTCTGGACTCACTTGAAAATGTTATCCGCGGCGTGAGTTTTGAGTGGAGCCCCACTGATACGCGAGCCGCTGATCAGCCAACTCCTCTTGATCCAGAAAGATGATGATGAAAGCCCAGGGGAACAACAATGGGTTCGCCAGAGCTAGACCTAGCATGTACAGTACAGAGACAGTCGGCGGGTGCTCTACCGCGCACGCATGTTGCGCCACGAGGTGTGGCCAATTCCCAGGGAGGTCCTAGATTTATCTGGGAATTTTTGCAGGACAAATGGCACGACAAAAATATTGAATGAAGCAGTACGCGTTATTAACGAAGTACTTTGAGGCTACAGAAGTCGATGGAGTTCGAGTTCGAGTTCGAGTTCGAAAACTTGAAAAGCGGGAACGCGGGAACCTGGGGAGACCCCGGCCGCAAGATGCCGACGCGCGAACAAAAGCGCGGTGACCAAGCGGTGACGTGGGTCCTTCCCATTGTGCTCTCCGCTTTGTACTGTTCGGACAAACCGAACGGTGTGCAAACAAACTTTTGTTTCACGTTTCTTTTGCTGAGCCCAGTGACTTCTCTGACCTTTTGTGAGTATGATATACTTAAGGGCTGAGCTCCGTGACATGGCCACACTCAGTCTGCCAGCTAGTCTTGCATGTCGAGCGTACATCGCTGCCTCGTCCAGCTTTCGTTTGCTGTCCCTGCCTCGCTATCGTTTTGCTTCCAAGTTTCATCCATCTCTTTATCGCTTGCCAAATCTATATTCTCATTCTTGATTTTCTGCTGCTATCGTGTTTTCGTCTTTGATCTCGTAACCGACTCCGGAAGTTCGACGTCTCCAAAACGTGTGTTTCAATACCTTTTACTTCCAATCACATCACTGACGTTTGTTCCCGATAGTCCACGAAAATATTTCTATCCTCCTCGAAATGATGTCATCCAAATCTGAGGTCTTGTTACCTCCGACATACGAGTTTCTTTCTCGTCCTCCGCCGAGCCTAAAGCAAAGACAACTTCGACAGCGAGGTTCCGTCATCCTCACCCCTCGAGCACCTTTCCCTGCCGAAAATGCTCCGACTAAACCAACTGCCCCTTCACTTTATCTAACACGGCGCACCCCAAACTCCAACATCTCTTCATGGGCATCCAAAGTCCAGCCCGGTTCACCAGTGCCACCCTCGCCACCCTCCGCTCCGTGCCACCCACCAAACAGCTCCCGTCCACTTCCCCGCTGTGCTTCCCTTTCCCACCTCAACCATCGTCCCTCCATCTACGGAATGATGTCTCGCGTACCATCTGGCTCTTTTCTCAACCTTATGGACACACCCAGCGTCTTCACACCTTTACTTCGCGAATGCACACACGACCTCACCGCGCTCGGCTACCATTATACCGTCGTCAAACTACCTACACCCACCACGCCTTCCCCCAACCTAAACAACTCGACTTCTCCGGAATTACGAACACCCCGACCCATCCGCGTGCCATCTTCTCCAGCTCTGATGGTTTGCGAGCCCAGCCGCAAGCCTTTCATTACCCGTTTCCGTATTCGACCCCGTTCCAAGTCCGCCTCCGGTTCTTCAGCCATCCAACCCTCTACGCCGAAGATCATCCACCCCCTTCATTCTCCCATCACGAAACCGCACAGCCCGAAACATACGGCACTCCGCCATCGGTCTAAATCCCCCGCATCCGGGAAGAGAGCTGCTTCTCTTTCCAAGGAGAAGACTTACCCTCGCCGTCCTCGAGCAAAACATGTACCGCCACCTCTGCCGCTGGAATGCCATCTCGCTCTCACTCAATTCCTCGACGGCGGGTGTCGCGAAGACAACATCAAAACACTGATGCAGGAGACCGCGAAACGGAATGGAGAGAAGGCTGTGGGCGAACCATATAGGGATGAGGAGGGAGTGGTTTGGGCTGATGTGGCGGAGAAGATGGAGTACGAGCCTCTCATTGACGAGAAGGCGTGTCGCCATGCAGATCTTAACTCGGACCAATGGGTCGAGTTTGGTAAGAGCTCTGAGAGGGGAAGTGGCACTGGTACGACTGCTACCAGCCTGCGGATGGCAAGCACGGTCGACTCTGACCTCGACCCGCGATACCTCATGCCTATCGAATATTCCATGGATTCCAGCGTTGCTGTACACATCCCTCCTCTGTCCAGCCCCTCTCAACCCAGCTCTCCCTCCATCCGCATCACGCCGGGTCGCTCCCTGCTCGCTATCCCCACACGGTCTCGCCGTACAGCCCCCCACCTACGCAAACCTGCTTCCTACGTCACCGACGCTTTCGGCCCTCGCTCACCGCGTTCACCACACTCTTCACATTCGGCGCGCTCTCCACGCTCCCCTCGGTTCCCTCGTTCGCCTCACTCTCCTTCGTTCAGTCCATACTCGAGTTCGCCAAGGCCCAGGCCGAAGGGCAAGGCCAGGCGCAGACCAGCGCCGTTGACCATCGTACCGCCTCGCGTGGAAGGAATGCGCCCTACCAACTCTCCCATTCACGTCCAGCCTTGGTTGTTGCGACCTGTCAATCGTGTGGTCAACCAAAGGGAAAGGGATGCGTTCATTGAGGAATCATTTAGGCCTGAGCCTGCTTCACAGGCGGATATGGAGGTGTATTTTGACGTGAAAGTGGCGGGAGGCGCGAAGGGGAGAGAGGGCGAGGATTCGACATCGAGGAACAAGGCTTCAAGGGTGAACCTGAACCTTGGATGTGGCGGTGTGATCAAGGGATCGTTTTGGTCTCGTATGGGGAGAAAGGAGACGGGAAGAGTTGATTCTTGAACTGGTTCGATGTATTGTATCATGGTTTTATCTCGTTCTTTTCGTTTATTTGGTTGCTGTCATCCTTGACTTGTCCCCGACCTTCGTCGTCGCTTATTGTAATTCTCGGGACGTCCTTCATAAGCTCTATCTCCCAGTGTAGCTATTCGTTCATATGCGTCAATTCAGGACTTGATCAAACCACCCACTCATGGTGAGACCCATGTTGATTCGATCTTGGGGAAGAAATATCAATATTGATATTCTTCTTCGCAAAACTATCTCTCCTAACATCAGCAGCACACTTTCCCGCCTTGACTCTCCATCTTCAAGTACCGAGTCAGCCCGAGGGTGGCACTCTGATGCTATGCTGGGATGGCTGCGCTCGAGTTGCTTGCTCGACTCCGATAAGGAACTTACTCGATTGAGCCAAATACATACTTGCCCTTGATTACCTTGCTTACAAGGTCCTTCGCACCGCCGTAATTATGACGTCGGGCTCCCGTTTCAACAAGTACAAATAGCTTACATACACTTTTTGTCTTGTGCCACAATATTTCGTTTGGCCTCTCCTTCCGCAGAAACCAATGAACTCGTGTTTATCTTCTGTCCGGCTCTACTTGAAATGTGTCTCCTGATAACCAGTATACGATGCTGTGGCTGATCAACCACGTGCTGCTGTCCGCGTTAACTCTTCACGCCGCTATGTTCACTCTGCGTTTCACGGGCCACGAAACCGTTCATCATTCGCACTACATCATCGCTCGCACACCCTTGCCTCACGCCGTCGACGCTACAAGACTGGTCATCGACACCACCCACCACTGCTTTGTGTTCCTGTCCGATTCCTGCAACCGATCATTTTCATCTAAAATTGGTGCCCCGCGCGCTTGCAGAAATAGGTCATCGTCGAAGTCTCTCAGAAGATGGATTGCGGACCTTTCTGTGCTCCAGGACAGTGCGACATAGAGGTTGAATAACGACAGCCCGCCTCTCAGAGCAGTTCTGATGTCCGTCGGCTTCACCCTGATGCACTACGCCATTGCCTCCAGAAAGTCGGACAGCGCGCCCAGCTCGTACGTCGCTGACATGGCCAAGATTTGCGTTCTCATCCCTCCCGCTCCTCGTGTCCTCCAGGAGTCGCCGAGGAAGAGGCTCCAGAGGAAGGACGTTGATTCTTTCCGGTCTCGCAAGATTGCACGCGTAGTATAGGCTGGGTTTGAAGGCGTGTCGAGCTGTCCTCTTTGGTTCTTGAACCGGATATGATTTGCCTTCGTTCGACGTCTATCAGACCCATTTTCATCAAGGAGTTTCGCTGTGCAGCTGAGAGTCCTTGTGAATTCTATCATTAATGCTGTACTTATGTATTGTAAGATGATGGTCTGTATTCTCTTACCGTGGTGTGTCTCTGTGGGCACCGCGTCTCTCTTCATGCATTTGCGCAATCTTTATCAACTGCCTGTCCGGCATGGTTGAGTTTCATGTAGGCGGTGCGTTGGAAAAAGAAAAATTGGGTCTAACATACAACATGAGGTGTTCGAGGAGATGGAGCGGATTCGTTTGTCTTGAGTTCTTCAATTGAACAAAACTGCCGGGTGCCACAGAGGTAGATGCCCGAGCGCGGCTCAGACGAAACCTCCCTGGTCAAAATTTGAAATCGCGCCACCCTCCCCTCCAAGCGAGGTTGCTGTAGACGAAGTCTGCTAACCTGTTTCTTTGGCTGGCGGGACTTGCCGTTGACTCGGAGGAAGGCGCCCAAGCCTGTCTTCACCACCACACATCTGTCTCCAGTTTGACACAACCGATGACAACGAAGTACACTTGTAGCATCTAGCAAAGTCTCCCTCGGCTAATCCCTATCTTTATCTAGATGCTTGACGAACAGCTCGCTTCTTGAAAGTGCTCTCGACATAGTTCCACCATAAAACGTCGTATACTCGACCGGGTCGACACCTGTCGACACTACCACAGCAGCGTCAATTGAACGCATCAACTGATAGTCGGATAAGGTCCTTTCTCTCCCATCGTTTTTATATCCACCTCCGTCATCCCATCTCCACGCACGTCATTTTATTCAGACCGTGTTTGGTCGGATGGTCCTTCCACCGATGTCATACGCAGTGAATCCACATCGCTACCCATCGCAAGTTTGTGATACGCAAGCGATGCCAGACTTCCTGAAGAGCGCCACTATGACTATCTGCGGATATTCTACATGGTACTTTCTCTCGCACACAGCAATCTCCGGTGGATGTCGGACGGAGGACCGAGCTCCCGACCGTCGAAGCTATCTGGCCATCGAATGAGGAACAAGGGTCATCTATATATGTATTATATTTCTGGCAGTGAGAGTGCACTCTATGCTTGGCTCCTCCGGGCTAGATAATGTGAGGCTGTGGAAAACATATACCGGTGCTCCTTCTCTTGCCGGAGATTCATTAAAACCCAAGGAGCGCTGTACAGCCGCCGTCATACCAAAACCCATGATCAACGACATGCTGATGGATTTACCTCTCGTGAAACACTGACGTTCTGTGAGGATATATAAAGCACCTCGACAGAAGAACACCCTCTACCAACCCCTCTTCTTCCCTCCACTTACTGCAAGCATCGCACTACTTCGCTCCCAAAAGTGCTCTCCAGGATGACCGACCCTATCCCTGCCGTTAAACGAACGCTTCTGGGGATTATCTCTGCTCCTTTCCTTCTCATATTCTGGATATATGTCCGATTGTGGGTACCACTTATCCTATCCGACTGTGATTGCTGATTCTCATCCTCTTTGCAGGGTGGAATTCGTTCTTGCTCTTGATATCGTAGAAGATATACGCCACACACTTCTCCGATACGTACACGACAAGGTCATCCGTTTCTCGGATACCATCGTTAAGATGTAAGTACGTACGACTTCACACGATCTGTCTCCGTCGCTGAAGACAACGTCAATGTTTCAACAGCGCTCCCACCAGGCTCATAGACTCCGTGCTGCACAACCCTGATCCCTCTACGTATCCTGGAAAAGGTCATGAATATGAGCCATCAGGGCCTCACGATTCTCGCTCGCCTTGTCCTGCTCTCAACACAGTAAGCGTTATGTCGCTTCCTTCATGGTCGCAGCGATTAACGCTTTATTTCTCTGCAGCTTGCGAACCATCATTTCTTGTGAGTCAATCGTGCCCCGTCCCGGTTTGATGTGTACCTGATACTAACGTGCCATCATCAGGCCCCATAACGGTCGCAACATTCATCCCCACCAGTTCATCGAAGGCCTTCAACAAGGTTTTAACCTGACCCAACCTCTTGCTTGGTTCCTCACGTACGGTGCCTACCTCCTCATGCACCAATGGGGCACTATATGCCTCCAAGACTTCGCTCGCCACGCCTGCATCGAGCACGACGCATCTTTGGCTCACCGGGACTGCAATAAAGATAACGAATATGCTCCGACACGTGCCGCAGCCAAGTTCGCCGAGAGACTCCAGGAAGACTCCTCTGATGGCGTTGGGTTGACTCTCGAGGATATTGCGAGTGCGAGAGTGAGGAGGGAGAATGAGTCGAAGGAATGCGGTAAGGTTTCTCTGGACAAGGTCCATGCAGAGATTGCGAGAGGTGAGATGGCGTTGGTATTGGATATCTTCGGGAAGCCAAGGAAGGATGGCGAGCTAGAGATTGGCAGCGATCTTTTGCTGAAGTGGTTCATGGAGGAGCGTCTTCCGGACGGATGGGTACCCAAGAAGAAACTGGGACTGCTCGCCACCATTCGAACAGCTGGAGAGCTCCGTGCCTCTATGCAAGAGCTGGAGAAGACAGACAAGGCTGAGGAGAAGAAGGTGAAGACGAGAGAGAGGCATAATACGTGGAGGAAGGATCAGGAGGAATTTGACTTCAAGCTGAAAAAGGCGTTCACCGACGAGAAGCTTCAACTCGATGAGAAGAAAGGAAACGCGAACGGGCACGCACAAAAAGTTGAGGGCCTTGGAGGCAGATGAAAACATCCAGTCGCTCTTCATTCCTTTCCTTCTTTCTCTTACTACTTTTATTCGATATACTTAATTATCTAGCCCATCGCTGTGCGTACCGTATATTCTATTTAAATCGCCATGTATCAGGTCTGCAATATTGACAGTCAAACATCCGTGCCGTGAGGGCGCTGGTGCGCCACAGTGGCGCCAGCGCTTTACCCCTTTTATTTAATCTGCTTGCTCGATGCTCTCTACTCGTCTTTGCCTATCATCTTTGCTTCGCCCGTTTAAGTAACAGATCTATCGCGATTGGCTTGCTATACACGGCAGGTAGCGACAGAGCAGTGAGAGCGAAGATATGACGAGTCCCATACCCGGGTAGAGATACACCAGAAAAACGACCCGTACGGATGGACGACTGACACGGGCGTAGAACAGCGAAAATTAAAACGGCAATGATGCTGTACACAGACAGGAAGATAAGTAGAAATAATCATACGGATAGCTGGCTGGTCAACGGGGATTAGATTGCAAACAGAGACTGACTGGAAGGGGAGGGCGTACGCAGTCACGGTGAAAGATTACAACTCCGCTACGAGATCAAACAGAAAAAAAAAACCTCTCCACGACCGCTATTCTCATCTTCTGTATCAGTCCACCCGGTTGGCATATGCCATTCGCGTTCGTCTGGACCCCTATGGACGTTCGAGATCGTGACCTGGGAAAGTGGATATAGTGAAGGTGTTCGTGGTAGTGTCGTATACAATGGCAAACAGGTCGAAGAGGGGATCGCTCGCTACAGTGGGAATGCAGTATATGTCGGACTCAAGAGTCACGTCCTCGAGGTTCTCTTTGACTACGTCGACATGCTTGACTGTCGTCACGGCGCGGAAGGGTGATGGGAACGATGTATGTATGAAGGATCGAAAACAGCCTGGTACACGTCACCGGGAGCATGGCCGACGACTTCTATCGCAATGCGCAACAATATCATAAGTGCGCCGTCCACCCCGGTCTTCAGCGGTGTGCCTACGTCAGACATAATCACGTCTTGATGTGTTGTCGCCGCAGTGTTGTATCTCTTGCTCGTGACAAGCTTTAGCGCGCCACGAATTTCGCGAGACGTGCATTGGGTGGGAGAAGACGCGGACTGGGCAGGGAGAGGCATAGACTGAGCAGAAGGGGACGTGGGCTGGCCTACTGAAGGCGTGCGCTGGGTGAGGGACGTCGAGGATCGATTAGAGGCTTGAATGGCGTTCTCCAAATCACTTCGGAACTGTTCATACTCGGGCTGGAGACTTAAACTGAAGTAAAGGAATGGTTAGCAAGGCGGAGGTATGGTTGCGGTCAACTGTAAGACGAAAGTTAGGATAAAGACGTACCCTGCCCACAGCTCCTCTTCCGTCCAGATACGCGTCACCCACTGAGTGGCATTGAAGTGCTTGCACCAAACCTTGTATTGAACAGGATTCGGTGAGGAAAGCTGTATCGGCCAGATCCTGTGCCTAGGATTGATGGGCAGTGGTCCACTTGTCCCGTCCTCGCATTCATCAGCGTCCATAGAATGTGCGTGCCCGTTGTGCTCTCAGGAAGGTAGTTGAAGCAGTGTTGGATCGGTCCCAGTCTGCGGTACACTTGGTTGTGGTGGAAGAGATACGCTTCGGATTGACTCCAGAAGCAATAGAGCACGGCCTGTCGCTCTGAGAGGGGTCGTGCGAGCAAGAAATTCTCAAACATTGATTTTCCTGGAGAATCACTACGTCGGTCCATAGGATAAGTAATGGAGCTCTGAATCGAAACGTACCGATGCCAGGCGAGCGAGGAGCGAGGAGCGATGCTCCGAGCGAGGAGCGAGGAGCGATGCTCCGAGCGTCAAGATGATGAGGTGTTCGAGTAGAACACAGTGAGAGTAGGGGCGGCCGCGACGTGTAGGCCAACGTTTCGTCTGTAAAGACTCATCAGGCGGCGGGTTTCGAACCTCAAGCATGAGCGCGGTCGACGAATCGAAGTTCGAATAGTATTCCGAATACGGATACGAACCGCGCGGGCGGCGCAAGCAGCGGAACCAGTTGTGGCGGACTCGACGCATCTCATTGACTTGCGCAGGCTCTTCGTGCTATATTTTAGGTCTGTTTCCTGTAGCGAAAACAGATCCTAAGCAGACAAATATAGCTCACATACTTACATCTTGGTCAACGAAATTTCGCGCACCTGGCGAGCTTGCTAGACTCGATAGGCGAACATATGAAAGAACGTCGACCTCGCATGAGGGATGAAAAATACAAGGGCCGGTGCAGGACACGAGGCAGGATAATTCTCAATGTATCTTTCGCTCAACACGAGCAGATGCAAATACAATTTTCTGAACATGCGTGTATTAGGATGATCTCTAGGATAAGTAATGGAGCTCTGAATCGAAACGTACCGATGCCAGGCTCCCCGGTTATCAACACTCCTCTCCTATAAGGGTTAGTCGCGCGTTCCAAGATTCGATAGTACATCTTGTTGTATTCCTCAGTGACGAGTATCTCGCTGCCCCTAGAGCCAGTACTGGAGGGGTACAAGTATATGGCTGGCTTGTCTCCGCTGGTCCCTGCTAGACCTAGGTCTATTGGATAGGGCGTATCTTGATCGAAATCAAAGGAACGATTGTACCAGTGTGCGCAGGACTTCCCGTAGCCGCCGTCCACATGGTCCCACTGTTTCTTGTTCTCCTCCGACCAGACCCAAGTATTGGTACCTAGAGGATTGATGATGAGTGAGTGTATCTGTACGGTAGACGGACATCGACGCGTTCACCTTCAGCATTGTTGCACTCCAAGAGGGCTTTGATACCGTCGCGATTTATACCCGTCATGTTAAAGCAAATGTGGCTGCTATGATATGGGGCCGTGGTAGACACAGAATAACACAGAATCCAGATGGGCATACGAAAAGTACGGTTCCTTAGATGATAGCCGCTCTGCAAAACTGTATGCGGTCACGGTCAAAGAGAGGGATGTGGGCCACACGCGCAAAACTGAAGTGGCGGCCCAAGCTGCCCGAAGACATGGCTCATCGTGGGCGGCACAGGCATTGCCACGTCATACCTCCTCGTCTGCCACCACCATCCTTTTTTACAATCTCAGAGAAGTAGCCAAGGTCGCTGCTGTCGATAATCGGGCGACTGTTTGCGCAAATTATCTGGGATGAGAACAGCTTCACTGAGATCTGAGCACACTTACGAGACCAAGGTATGAACCGGTGAAGGACAGTGACCGAAGGTCAGAGCCCACTGGCAAAGGACAAGATCAAATGTCACTGTATGTCTTCTCACCAGAGCCTTTTCATGTCGCAGCAGTCGCTGATACAGCATGGTCTGTTCGCCTTCATAGACGAATATAACAGTCAGCGCTCTCGGGCTGAGATAACATCTCTGAGTCGATAATGCTTCGTTAACTAAGGTCTGCCACAATTGCAACTTACGGTAAGTTATCATGCCAGAGCTTGCACATGCAATCTACTGTATGGTCGCACCCATGACGGCCGTACTGAGCCCCTCCGAGCAGTTATCGCGCAGTATTATCTCAGTCTCGCGAGAACCCTCCCGGAAACAATGGAAGGCAGCAGCCTGGTTCCTGGATCCACATGGACCCATATCGTGAGAATGGGGCGGGCTGACTTCGTTCAGAACTGTCCTGGACGTGGGCCAGCCAAACGAGCTCCTGTCGTGTTTCGTCATCAGTCTCTTCCCTCGACTAAGGCGTCAACTTAACCACTCCACGAGCCAGCCTGCATTCAATAGAATCGTTAAGACATCACCGTCGTTCAACTACACGACCAAGTTCACCGAGACGAGAAGTCAGTGAGTCTCCCTCCGGCTGATTCGGCACCTTTAACAATAACCAATTACCCTTGCTTTGTTTTCTTATCGACTTCTGATGGCCATAGTTCGGTGGCGCGAGTACGCACCGACGCTTTGTTGGGAATTCTTTGGAAAATACAAAGCGAAGGCACGGTCACGCTGTGCCGAATTCCAACTCCGAAGTCACTATCGCTGCTTTATATTCCGCTGCACGCCGCTCCTCTTCTCTTGCTTTAAACCATCAACTCGCAACCGTCTGCTCAGCTCCTCAGCCCCGCTCCGCTTTAGCCAACACCGACCGCAAACAGCCAGACACTGCAAGAAATAATCATCACCAATCTCCGCTAAGAGCAGAAGACGATTATCTGAGAATGTGAGTTGCTCTCTGGGAGTGGCGCGTTATGGATGACTGCCGTCCTGACACATCGCTTTCTCCTGTAGACGCGTCTTCAATCCTAACTCACTTTCTGTATATCGCACCGCAACAACAACACCCACTCAACAACAGACCCGTAAGCCCAGCTCATCCCCCTCGTCGTCTCCAGCGTGCTCACCACCATCGTCTTTGTCCCGCGTCGCCATATAGGCCTCGCCCCAGCTCTCCACCCCCACAAATTATATCGCCGCCAACTCACTCAGCTTGAGCCTCTACCAGCCTTACCGCCTATATCTGTGAGTTGCAATCTCCTCGTCGTTGACCCTCGCTTTGGAAGAGGGTGGTTTGACACCGAGTGGCGCGCTGACACTGAGACATTCCCACGCCGCTCCGGTTCCTTTGTCCAGTCACCGCCTCTCCCATCTCAAACCCAACCACCGCCGCCACCAAGACCGCCACCACCACCACCAACAACAACAACAACAACAACAACAACAACAACAACAACAACAACAACAACAACAACACCAATAACACCAACAACAATAACAATGTCTGACAACCTCATGACCGTTACCGCCGCCGACCACACCACCACCAACATCGTCCACCCTTCATATCCTCCCTCCGCCCATACGGGCTTCATCAACTGGATGCTGGCCGAGAACGACCGCGCCCGCGAACAACAGGCCGAATCCATGGCCTACTCCCCTCCCTCTCCTTCGCCCTCGTTGAAGAGGCGGAGGATGTTCCAGGCAGACTACTACTCAGACTGCGACGCGGATGACGAATACGGGAGCGACTCTGACGCTTCAGATGCCGAGTCTATGACGTCCGGCACGTCCTACGAGGATAAGGAGAGTGCAGCGCCCCCTCGCAAGAGACTCTGCTTCAACTTGAACGATAGTCCCTCCCTTCGTGCCGTGGAACTGAGCTCGGGAAGGTCGTCGAGGTCGTCGTGGACTCTTCAGACCCCGCTCGACTCTCCCAGGGCTGCGCTGCGCCCTCTCGAACTGGTATGCACTCACTCACTCCTTAGCATCGACTGGCATCTGACCGAGTCTATTTCTTGTAATTCATTAGTTCGAAGTCGACGACGAGGTCGACGTCAAGGAATTCATCCCCTTCGCGTCCGAGGTCGATCAGTCCCCGACTTCTTCGGTGAGTCGTCTTTCATATATCTGTCCTCTTCATTATGTGCTTACGCGCGGGTCTCTCATCGTGTAGGATGACTCGAAGGCTTCTGTCGCGTCCAGCCATTTCACCGACTCCGAGGTCGAGCTCAAGGCGACCACTCAACACGCTCTCTCGTTCTCTTCGGAGGAGGAGGAGGAGGAGGAGGAGGAGGAGGAAGAGGAAGAGGAAGAGGCCCAGTACGCCCATGGACAATACCAGGAACTCGAGCGCGTAGATGAGTGGAAGTCGGAGGGGTATGTCTCCAGCTACGACGAGGAGGACTATGAGGGTGAGGAGGAGGAAGAGGTCCAGTACTCAGCTGGACAATACCAGGAATTCGAAAGAGTGGATGAGTGGAAGTCGGAGGGGCATGTCTCCGGCTACGATAAGGAGGAGTATGAGGAGTACTCGGATGAAGATGGGTATAAGTACGAGAACGGCGGTGATGTGAGTTGCACTATTATCTTCCACCCCTTCTCCCCGATGTCCCTGGTTCTGATGATGCCATATTTGTCCCTTTGCTAGTGCCAGAACTATGTCGCAGCACGGCTGATGTTCAAACCGGACGTTGAGTATGCCAACGACCCGGAGTCGTACGAAAGGTTTACCCAACATCATGGGGTGAACTACGATTCTGAGGTTGAACCGTCGGCCCCCCCTCCAGAATTCTACAAGGCCATGCTGGCCCATATGTTTGGTACGGAGGGCAGTCTTTGATACGTGAGTCCTTATCTTTCTTCTCTATCTTTTTTTGCGCACTGCAAAGTTGCTAACTCATTTCTCTTGTGCAGTTTGTCTCCGATTTCTTGTTCCTCTGGGTTTGAAGTTTCTCGTATTGATATTCCTTTTCTATTTCTATCTGGTTCCTTTTCCTCTCTGTGATATACACGCACACACATATTTCCCTCTCTGACCTTGCTATCTGCTATCTATGTTATCCTACGTACCTGTTCGCCGCTCAGCTATCGCTTTCCATTCTCTCTCGCATCCTTATTCTACCTCCCCCATCGCTATTGGAAGTCTACGCCACTGTCCATCTTCTCTCGTCTCGTGTTGTCCTTGCTCTCTTCTGCCGCCGCCGCTGCCATTGCTCTCGCTCACGCATCCATCTTTGCTCCTGTGCTATCTCCCGTCGTTCTCGTATTTCCTGTTGTTGCAGCCGTTCGTGTCGTTGTCGTTGTTATCTCCGTAGTCGTTGTCGTTCCCGTCATTGTTGTCGATGATCATGTATTTCTACCGGTGTGTGGCTATGGACTGTTCACGTTCTCCCGTACCTAGTTGTGCTTGTGATTGTATTTATATCTGAATCTATTGGCAGCTTGGATGTAACTTCTAGTCTGAAGGTGCTCCTGCGACCTATGCCGTCGGATTGGAAAGTGCAAAGTAACTCAAAGTGCAAAAGCTCTGTGCGTGGCGAAATCCCATGATTGTGGCGCGGGGCGTCTATGTGTGCCCCTCGTCTCCCCTTGTTCCTTTCGACCATGGCGCTGAACGCGTTGAAATTCCTCTCCCGACACGATCCCAGTTTCTGCATAGTGTTTCATCCGCATCAATCCTTGTCGCAATCTGATGCCCATTTACACAACTCGGGACGAGCGCTCATCTAGGACTCAACAAAACGCGCGATAATGGCATGCACCCCCGGCGACAGGAAGATTTTCCGAGTCATCCCAAAATCAACGCTGTGTTCGCCGTTCAGTAGCTGAAATAAGGTCGGGTATGTCGGGCTCGTCAAAAGCTTCATAAACACGCTGTGCTCACGACCATCTCTTCACCCCACCCACTTACCTACAGACTACAGCATCCCTCTCGTTGACCGGTCATTCGCGTACAGTTGGAAGTGATGGCCCCAGCAAAGCCTACCGTGTTTACGGTCTTGGAGGACGATACGGTTATGGAAGATGGGAAGGGGAATACATTCCTCTTCACGAAGTTGCCGACGTCGCAGTACAGGCCTGAGGAACCCAGGGATCCACTAGATCAGACGAGGTACATCGTAAGGTGCGTGGTTTGCCAACCAGCCATCTCTCCGTCTGCCCTTCTTATCATACTCATTGTCCTTCTCTTTTCCATTTGTTTCGTGCTCGTACTGTCTTTCATCCACCGCACAGAGGTATCTCTCCCCTCGGTGCCACGTTCCTCGTCCCACCCCACTGGCATCCCCACACAACCGAATACTTCCGCGTCTTCGTCGGCTCCGTCACCGCTACCGTTTCCGGTAAAACAAGGACCATCACACCTGCGGATGGAGAGTTCGAGGTGCCCAAGGGAGAGGTCCATTCGTTGTTGGTCCCAGACGATGTTTATGCCGAGTATGGGGAGAGGGCGGAGGGAGAGGAGACGGAGAAGAAGAAGTCGAGGATGTTGATGACGTTGTTGGGAAAGGGTGGTCAGATAGGAGAAGTGAGTTTTTTTTGTTGATTATTCCTCCGGCCGTTCGTGGTGGGCTTGAAGCAGATTTGTTGACGATGCTGGGTTGCTCGATCGGTACAGCTGAGCCCTGTTCAAGCACTCAGACTATTCTTCGCCGATGGTACGTCTCTTCGTCATCCTACCTCTATCTTCGTAGTTAACGCATGTCATCCTTCCTACCCTCCCCATTACAGGTGACTCGTATCCTTCCACAGGTCTCAAACCGATGGATATAGGCATAACATACCTCTTCGGAGGCTTTTTCGGACGGACGCTGGGATTCGGGAAGTTGAAGGGCGCCCCGGAGGAGCTGAAGTGAGAATGAATGAGGCGAATTGGGGCCTATGGCGATTTCTGTGTCTTCACTTCGAGGCTGCTTGCTAGGTTCGGACTCCTTTTCTGCTTCCTGGCTGAGCGAGGTCGCTCATGGTGATTGTCATTGCACGTTCAACAGGAATGGTTATATATCTTTAAATTTCTGTTTTGAATAGTGTGTACTCGGATACTTTGTTTCAGATAATGTCATTCTCAGTGAGTTTCTCCTGCAGCAGGCTTACTCTTCAACGGAACCTACTCGTTTGCCAGGAAAATATAGGAGCTTTACCTCTTCCGGGTGAGGTCTATGCCTTGCGACGCTGATGAGTTCATCTCTGTATGAGTTTCTACTGAGCTATGATCGCCGGTAAGTGTTGCCTCTACTGAAAACAAAGACGGTATGCACATCCCTCTCTAAAAGAAGTCATACATATATCTTCCCACCTGCATGGAACGTTCTGAAGGAGTGATGGTACTTGAATACTGAGTTCACCAATGAGTTACCGATTCAGAGAAATCACCGCGATTATTCATCGTTTTTTTTTTTGCAGGCTTATCCAACTGTAATCGACTCGAAAACATGAATATGTATACCCTGTGAGATGATCTTCATGAAGTCGGAAGGTGACCTGAGCTGCCGAGGTGAGCTCGAGTCCTTGTCGCGGACTGACTAACGCGGCGACGACTGGGATGTACTGGGATATTGACTACGTCTGCTTGCACTTATCTTCGCAGTCAGTATTTGGCAATCATCTTGCTCGAGCGAACGGTAGGTGTGCAGAAGTGCATGGTCCAAGAAGACAGTAAGTGCCACACACGGCGTGGGTATCACTGTCCGTGGGATTGTGGCGGTCGTGGCACTCAAGAGCGCGTCACGGGAACAGCGTCTCTCTTTGCCCTTTCTCCTCTCGCCCTCTCCCTCACTGTACATCGTCCACATCGTATACCTCCCATCTCCCTACTTTCATAGAATAGATTTACGTTCATCCTTTAACATCTAACCTGATCTTCCTTACTCTCACGTGTGTTCTCTTCGTCATTAGCTGTTGGGTCGTTCGCGTCGATCTCAGTTCTGCGCGTCGTCAACATCGACGCGTCTCATTTGCATACCATCCATCCATCCTTACACGTTTCGCTTTCCGCACTCTTCTCCAATCTTATCTACGCTCAATCGAAGCTCGACGCGACTAACGGCCGGGTCTCAACGCCCTCAACGCGACTAACGACCGAGTCTCAACGCCCTCGACGCTTCCGACTCCTGATCAACATCCCATCATCGTAATCATCATCATCCTCAAACTTCAACTAAGGCTCGCCTGCTCATAAATACCAACCAAGTACGTATGTCGCTACCCACGCCTTGTGCTCATCCGTGTCGTCGCAATTCCGAACCCTGACCAACGTGCGATCCTCACCAGCTACAGCCTCAGAAGTCCCCACCATCATAATTAATCAAAACATGTGTCGGAATTTAGAATGGATTTGCTCTTGCATGAGGCCTCCCGCACCTGCTCCATGGAATGATAATGTACGTCGTACCCTTGACATTCGTTTTGTCATCGGTTGGTACTTGCACTGACGATAACGCGGGTGCACGTAGGTGTACGAGCTCGCCCGCGAGTGGGCCCGTAAATACGATGTCTCGCTAGGGTGCCTTTATTGTGCTATCGACGGCTGTGAGCTCTGTTGTGCGAGTGTACAAGCGCATGCTCTTCCTCCCACAAGAATCTGTTGGTGCGGGTGTTGCGAGGCCACACGGTGCGCGGTGTGCAAAAAGAACGTGACCGCCAAGAAGGACGCAACGACGAAATGTGTCTGTCACAAGAACTGGACGAGTCCGGTCCAACTGGCATGCGAATGCTGTAAGTGCGATAGGGAGGCTATCTGTGGGCTCTGTTGGAGGTGTCCGAAGCAGTGCAAGTGTGCGGCGGACGAGGAGGCGGACGAGGTCGTGGAGATCAGCGGGGCGGAGTTGGTACGTGTTTTCGTAGTTTCTTGCTCAACCTCTTGGTGCATCTGCTGCACTTTCTCGATCTGCAAATGTGTGGTTTGTTCGTGCATTGTTGACGGGTAGCTGATGACCTTGTTTCCATCTGTGTTCAGCAACGCTACGAGGAGCGTAGCCGGGAGATTCATGAAGAATTATGTAAATTCGTCCTGGATTGTAACAACCCAAATCCTCCTGTAAGTCACCGCCCTTTTTTCATCTCTTTCTCCGCTTTATCCCTACTGTTTCTGGTCACGGCCTGTGCTCATCCATAAATCCATCTCTCCAGCGCAGGATCGCCGATTATTTTGACCCACTAGATGTGAGTCCTTCATTCTACCTCTAACAATTCGGGAATCCATCGCTGATTTAAGTATTCCTTGTCATTCATATTTCTGATCAGTGTACCGGTCTACCTGAGACCACTCTAAAAGAAATTGACGAATCGAAAAACAACTTTGGCCTCCGCCTGAAAGCCGGCTCGAGCAACTTACCCCTTCATGTCGTCCCACGTCTGGCTCGCCGCCGATCTGCCCCTCTCCCCGCTGCTGTCATTCCCACGTTACCCGTACTTGGTGCCTTCTCCCTACGAAACCTTTCGTCTCCCAGTATATTTTACGGACTGGCAAGCAAGACATTTAAGACAACAATTCCAAGGCTCTTACCTGACCGGCGAAAAATCGTGGACGCAACCGATCAGTCTATCTCAGATGCATGGAGGGAGCACTTCCGCCTGCACTGCAATTGTCGGCCGCTTTCGGGCTGGAATGCTCTACACGAATTGCCTAACGGGAGAAATTGTCTGCTTGGGAGACTCGCAGGTGATTGTGGACACCCGGAGCCGGAACCTGCACCGGCCATTCGGGGTCGATGGGCTGGTATGTCGCAAGAAGACTGGGCTCTCATTCGGCTGGAGGGCCAAGCCCGACTACAGAATCTCCTCAGCGGCAAAATTGACGACACGTCTTCTTTGCCGGGGGCCCCAGTGCCAGTGGTGGGCGACACACATGCTTCGTCGAGGTCTAGGAGATCTTCTGCGGTGCTGACCCCTGGTCTTACTGGTGATGTCGACGACAACTCGAACTCTGTTTTGGAATCCTTGCTTCCGGTCGCATCTTCACTTGACGCTGTTTCTGAACCGTCGAGCTCAAGCCGCGAGTTTACTCTGGCATCGAATAAGGCCTCTCGTGGTTCGTCCACCGATAGTGTCACGTCTACCGCGGCGTCCTCAGCTGGTTCAACGGCCTTCGCGCGTTCCGTCTCCACTGTCTCCACGTCCACCACTGCATCCACGTCCACTGCCGCGACCTCGTCCTCGACTTCCTCGACGCTACGCATTCGCATCCCTGCACCTTCGAAACGCATGAAGGGGGATGCCGCAAAGAAATTAGATTGTATAGTTGAATGCAGCGATGAGGAGGACGACGATACTCCTTTCGAGTCCGAGCCACCGAGGCCGAGCGCCCGTATTGCGCCTTTGGAATGCGTAGGGGAGGAGAAACAGGAGAAGAGGATGCTCAAAAGAACCAACAGGCGTTACTCTGACGATGATAGTGAGCGTGAGGAGAAGTGGGCTGAGAAACGTCGCAGGGTAGATTGAGGAGATATGAGGATGTACGATGGGCCCCTCGAGGGTATGGAAAGGCTCGTGTCCATGGAGATGAGGGCGTCTTTCCCGTCACTCCGCCTGCAATTTGCTCTCTGAAGGCTGTATTTTGATTGTCCTGGTTTGTCTTCGTTCATCGTCGTCTTATTTATCAGCTGCTTTATGCTCTCCCATCACTCATGCTCTCCCATCGATTTTTCCCAATGCATCTTCTTCAGTCTTCATTCCTCGTTTTCTTCTCTGCTTTGCCGCGTTAAATAAGTTACCTATAATTACCTGCCAGTCACACATTGCTTGTTGTTTGTTGCTTGCTCAGATCTGCTGTTATCTACCTGCGCTGTGTTTATTCTTGTCACTCTTGCATCAATCGTTCCGCAATATCATTGTGTTCGACTGTCTGCCGTGGTGCGGGCATGAGTTGCGCCCAAGGGACACAGGGACACAATACTGTAACAAACCGACACGCCACGCACTCCGGAGGCTTCCGAGAGGCACATGCCTCGAGGCCAGCCAATCTGCGGGCGCATCATCTCTTTGTCTCTCCCGTCATACCTGTTTCTCTGCTGGTTTATCCACGAAAAGAGGCTGGCAAGGTTCCTGCTGCTCCTGGGCATGATTATAAAAGTCTGTTTTATTGTTTGTTTTATGAGAAATCTGACCCAGTACACTTCCCGGGGCGAAATTCCATTTCCCACTCATTTTCCCATCATTTTCAGCGCCACGCAACGACAACGAACGTGCAATAGCGAACTTCGCATGGTATTATCTCCCATACTTGCGGTTAATCCAGCTTGCCATCATGAAAGCGGGCATCTATAAAGCTGTCGCCAACTTTGAACATCCTATAAGCTCCCATCACGACGACCAATAGCCCAAAATTACCGTTCTGGTTCAACCTTGCACGCCATATGATCCAACATACGACTAATGCTATACTCCTCCTTCAGAATATCCAATGACGAGCATATCAATATCACGATATCAGCTGGAGTCTTTGGTCGGGACAGTGAATCGGACCACGCTCAGCGAGAGCCATCGCGACGACCGGCCGTGGTCAGCAATGGTGCGTCCTGTATACATCAGTTCTAGCCATTGATGTTGATCAAAACGACATGTCTCCGGCCTTGCCCATTGTTGAAGGAAGGTCATTCCATGAACAAGGCTCAATGTGTGGTCGGTGACAGGTGCGTTCTGACCTTGTGCTGCTCGATTAGCCTCTCCTCTCGCGTCCCCATAAGCAAAGCACCTCCACAATCTCGAATCGGTAGCCTCACTCCCCAAGTCTCTGGTCAGATGCGCCCACACCCCGTCGACGATGAATCTATGTCAGCACACATCCTACCGCATCGATTTTGCGATCTTGCACGACCCACCTCCTGATAAGTACTGTCGTGAGGCAATATATGACCACGACGCTGGAATGTTCCACTTTGAACAATCCGAGCTCATGGTCATAGAACCACAGACAATGTATATAGCATTCGGGGTCTGGGCGACGCTGAAGTTCGTGATCAAGAGTCGCTCCGGCGGTGAGATGCATGACGCACCCATTCGATCCCCGTGAACATGCGTTTTCATCGCAGACCTTTCGAACAGGGCATGCATCCGACGAAGATACGAGGAAAAGATGTTTAGAAACGGCCGTCTCTCTGCGTCCAGCCCTTACGCGTTCCATAGTATGGCCTGTAGTGCGTAGACGATTATCGGTGGTAAATTCCTAGTTCGCGAAGCAGATGCCTTCGTATCGTCTGCATATCTAGATCGTGTTTTTGAAGCACACACAAGGGCGCTGACAAACTAATCCAATGGCAAACGAGTTCCTAGCCGTGGAAGTAATAATCTGTATAGACCGATCGTGGTATACTCGCTCAGGTCTTAGTCTCATCTTCCGCAGAAGGGTCTCAGGCGAGGTGTCATAACGATGCAGTGGGATACGATCTGGAGGGAAAGCCAGAGGTCGAGCTTTGCTCGAGCTTCTGTGTCCGCCAGTATCGACGCCCACAGACTAACTGACTGATGATGCTGACGACCAAGCCCAGCGATCCTGCGATTGAGCTCAGGAGACTTTCCTATCGCCCAAATCGTAGTGAAATCGCATCCAAGCGAACCAATGGTGAGCCCAAAGAATGCTTCACACCGGTCGGCCAGAACAACGGTACGTGGCCGTAGCCGCTGGGGGCTCAATCAAGGAGATCGCGGCTAACGAACACTCACTTTTGGGACAAAACAGCACAAAACGGGTGGGTGAGAGTACTCTTCAATCGCGTCGGCCATCGCAGTGCGAATTGCAGACTGCCCAATTCGGACACCGATCCCGAAGATCCTGTCGCAGTTGCGCTTGCTACAGTGCAAGAGCAATCCACTTACCAGGTATCATGGATCGTAAGTCAGTACGTCCAGAACTATCAGAAGTTGTCGAGTTTCTGTTCCAAAAGGTTGTTGACGGATGAGTTGCAGCAGAGGGAGAGAGCAAGAGCCCAGAGACACGCCGCGTGTGGCACGGGTGGGCGCCGACGCCGAAGCCGAAGCCGGAATATTCCCCGGGCAGCCACCGCTGCACCCCCTCACCGTCTTTTCACCCCGCATCCCTGACACACAGTTCCCTTGAGCCACAGCAAGCTGTACCCACGCAAACAGTATTGTCTCAGTACGAAGCTACTCCCGAGCATCTCATATCGAATAGATCTCGACGTGAACGTGAGTCTCTCTTTGCCCTTTCTCCTCTCGCCCTCTCTCTCGCTGTACTTCATCCACACCGCATACCTACTATCTCCCTACGTCCATATAATAGATTTGCACTTATCCTTTACTATACAACCTAATATTCCTTACCTTCACGTGTGTTTTCCTCGTCATTGGTTACTGTGTCGTCCGCGTCGATCTTAGTTCTGAGCGTCGCTGACATCGACGCGTCTCATTTGCATACCATCCATCCATCCATCCATCCATCCATCTACCTACCATTCATCTTCCACTCTTCCCCGATCTAACCCACGCTCAATCGAACTACGTGACACCAGCCGAAGGCGATTCGCGACCGAGCTCAACAACCTCGACGCATCCGACTCGTCATCGACATCTCCTCCGAGTCGTAATCATCATCATCCTCAAGCTTCAACTTGGGCTCATCTGCTCATAAATAGCAACCAAGTACGTATGTCGCTGCCCACACCTTGTGCTCATCTGGTCATCGCACGTCAGAAGTTGACCAACGTTCAATCCTCACCAGCCACAACCTCACAAGCCCCCCGCGTTCATAAGTAGTGTAGTATGTGCCGGAATTTCGAATGGATTTGTGGTTGCATGAAGCCTCCCGCACCTGCTCCTTGGAATGTTAAAGTATGTCGTACTCGTCATATTAGTTTTGTCGTCGGTTGGAGCTTGCACTAACGATATAGCGGGCGCACGTAGGTCTACCAGCTCGCCCGCGAGTGGGCCCGTGAAAAAGATGTCTTGCTAGGGTGCCTGTTCTGCGCCATCGACGGCTGCAGACACTGTTGTGCGAGCGTACAAGCGCGCGCGCTCCCGCCAACAAGGATCTATTGGTGCAAGAATTGCGAGGCGACAGCGTGTGTAAGTGTTGCGACTGTAACAGGATAGCTATCTGTGGGATTTGCTGGATGTGTCCTAGAAAGTGCAAGTGTGCGGAGGAAGAGGAGAAGGACGAGGTCGTGGGGATCAGTGGAGCAGAGTTGGTGCGTGTTTTCGTATTTTCTTGCTCGGCCTTTGGGTGCGTCTGTCGCACTTTCTTGGTGTGCGCATATGTGGTTTGGTTGTGCATTGTTGGTTGGTAGCTGATGATCTTGCTTCCATCTGTCTTCAGAAACGATATGAAGAGCAGAGCCTAGAAATTCAGCAGGAACTCAAGAAATATGTCTTAGACTGCAGTAACCCTTCGCCTGTGAGCATCTTCTCTCACGTCTTTCTCATCTTTGTCCCGACTATATCCATCCACAACCTGTCCTCATCCGGAAATTCATCTCTTCAGCGCAAACTCATCGACGACCAGTTTGGCCCACATGATGTGAGTCCTTCATTTTATCCTTGGCTATATGGGCACTCATCATAAATCTAAATATCCCTTATCATTGTTGTTTCCAATCAGTGCACTGGCCTGTCTGAGTCTGCTCTAAAAGAAATTCGTGACCTGAAGAACGACTTTGGTCTCCGCCTGAAAGCCCCCGGCTCGATAATCCCACCACCTAATACATCCCTTGACATTGTCCCACGTCTTCTTCGCCGCAAATCTTCCCCTTCCCTCGCCTTCGTTACTCCTACGATATCCATGCTCGGTGCCTCTCTACGGAATATTTCGTCGCCAAGTGTATTTTCCGCCTTGGAGAGCAAGTCGTACAAGACAACGATTCCAAGGCTTCTGCCAGAACGACGAAAAATCGTGGACGCGGCCGATGACGCGATCTCCGAGGCATGGAGGGAGCACTTCCGCCTGCACTGTAAGTGTCGGCCACTCTCCGGTTGGAATGCTCTTCACGAACCGCCCAATGGGAGAAATTGCCTGCTCGGGAGACTCGCTGATGATCGTGGACACCCGGAACCAGAACCTGCATTGGTCATTCGGGGTCGTTGGGCTGGTATGTCGAAGGAGGATTGGGCTGCCATTCGGTTGGAAGGTGAGCTGGATGAGGAGCGTAATCGCCTTCACAAGTTTCTCCGCGAGGAGGATGCCCGCCTACAGAAACTCATGATGGACGTGATTGGCGGCACGTCTTCTTCACCGGGGGAGCCGGTGCCAATGGTGGGCGACGCACAGGCTTCATCGAGGTCTAGGAGGACTTCTGCGGTTCTGATTCCTGGTCTTGCTGCTGGTATGGACGGAAATTCGGATCTTACTTTGGAATCCTTGCGTCCGGTTGAACCTCTACTTGACGTTATCTCTGGGCCGTCGAGCTCAAGCCGTGATTTGTCTGTGTCGTCGAACAAGGCCTCTCGTGGTTCGGCCACCAATAGCGTCACGTCCACCACAGCATCCTCATCCAGTTCTACGGCCTTCACGCGTTCCGTCTCCACCGTCTCCACGTCCACTGTGGCATCTACTTCCACCGTCGTGACTTCGTCCTCGACTTCCTCGACGCTACGCATTCGCATCCCCGCACCTTCGAAACGCAAGGGCGATAACCCAAAGAAACTTAATTGCATACTCGAGTGCAGCGACGAGGGTATGACGGTACCCCCTTCGAATTCGAGCCACCGAAGTCGAGCGTCCGTATTGCGCCTTCGGAACGTGTCAAGGAGGAACAGGTGAAGAGGAGGCTCAAGAGAGCCAACAGACGTTACTCTGACGATGATCGTGAGTGTGAGGTGAAGCTGGCTGAGAAACGTCGCAGGGTGGATTGAGGAAGGAAGAGAAGTGTACCGTATGCACGGTGGGCCCCACGAGGGTAGAGAACTTTGCCATTTGCTCTTTGAAGGCTGTATTTCGGATGTCCCGGTTTGTTTTGTTTCGCTCGCTGTCGTCTTTTTTATTGTCTGCTTTATGTTTTGTCGTCGCTCATGCTACCCCATCGCTTTCTTCCCATGCATCCTCTTCTGTCTTCAGTCCTCGTTTTCTTCTCCGCTTCGCTGCGTTACCTACCATCACCTGCTAGTCACACATTGCTTGTTGCTTCACGTTAACTCGTATCTACTGCTATCTGTCTAGCTCTTCAGTCTCCCTTGTCGTGTATCTCTGCATCAACCGTTCCACAATTGAATTGTATTCATCTGTCTACCATGCGGTGCGAGTCGCGCCACAGTGGCACCTTCCGCAAGCGAAGAGAATTAGGCGCACGGGCCATCAAACCACCACTCCTTTTCCCCTCTCACTCTCAGCTGTTTTTTTTTTCTACGAGTCTGCCTTTCGCCTCTGCTCTCACAGATGTGAATCGACAAAGCTGCCCAGATATGTCTTGACCGTTCTGACGTTTGACGAAAGACAGGGCCCGAAAAAAAACAAGTCGCGACTCCTACTTTCGACTCCCCCTAGCTCCCCCTACGCTTCTATATGGTTTATATTTCTTCTTGCTTTCTATCGCAGCTCTTTTATGATCTTCTACAGCATATCACAAAGTAGTTGCTCTGGCTTGAATGGTTGAAACAGGCCAGATATCGCGTTTGGGTGCAGCCCTGGAGACGAAAAGTGGACAGCGCACCGCACATTCACTCTGAACCCCCACGGACAAGAATCAACATGCCCAAAGATAGTGAGTGTCTAGGGACCGATAGTAGAATCTCCTGGTTGATATGGACGGAGCGTATGGTTTGCGTGTTGGAATGCATGACAGAGTCGAAGGGACTTGGTCGGGTTTCGGGAGATGTTGAAAAGGGTCCAAGAGCAGGATACGGTTGTGAGTCCCTCTTTACTCGAAATGACGATAGTCACTGTTATGATGTCCTTCTCTGTGCTCACTGACATGTTCTTGTGACCATCAACGTCGACATCAGCGACGTGTTGGTTTCCGTGACTAGGCGCTTATTTGGGTCGAGCGTATTCTTGGGTGCGAATATTCTTCACCTCATACAATGCGTTACGTTGCTGAACGTATCATGTAGTAGTCATGTATCTTATCGTCAAAGTGTTCAATGAAAATTGCAATGTGCCCTGTTTAGATCTGGAAAGTCGGATATAATCGACCGGTGAGAATACAGAACAACTGAACTATGCAAAGGTAATCACAGCGTCTTAACGCAAGAACTTGGTGAGCGTAATGCACATGAGTCTTGCCTTCCAGTAGCGAGTGTGGAGGAACAGTGACAACGCGCTGGTGTGCCACAGCATGTCTGATCATCGTGCCTCAACGTCCCCGGACGTTGGACCAGGAAGGTATAAGCGCACCCTAGTGTGCAGAGCTTGCGGACCTGAGAAAAACCCATATACAGAGTATGTAGCGCCGTCCAAGTCGGTGGAACCCACCGATGGTCGAGGACACGCAAGGTATGTATCAAAAGTTCCTGCATTATTCTTCATGCTCGAAATGATGTACACAATAGACCTAGCCGGACAGCGGGAAGATGGTACAGTGGGCCAACGCGACGATTGTAGGTGTGAAAGTCCCGGTAGAGAGCCGTAAATGACGAGACTGGTTCTTATTATTTACCTTCGTGCTGACGGGTCTTTGTTTGAGGAAGACTCTTAGGTGACCCTTGTGGGGTGAATGAAATAGGTTCGCCTATGTGGAGATCGGTGATTAGTACTCACCAACATATTATATCCAGGCACTCGTATTCATGGTGAGTATTGTGGTATCGTTCCTTGTCAGTGTCAGTGAGTGTAGAGGAGTTTGCCAAGGGGCTGTGTTTGTTTACGGAATGGCTCATGCGATTCGTGGGAACACGCCACGGTGGCCACTGCGTGGGAATGACAATCAACGACACTTGCCTCTCGTGCTTTGCCTTCATCCGCCCTCATTACCTCTCCTCTCATCCCCTTTGCTACTTGCCTCGTATACACCATCCTATCGATACACACTATCACAAATACTGTTACTTGCTTCGCTTCGTACGTCCACATCGCGCATCGTGAGCTGAGTTGACACGCTTACTGACACGCCTCCTTCAGTTCCATCTGGCCTGCTCCTACTCTCCTCAACTATCAAGACCATCAAGCACTCTAACAGACTCTACAATGGACTATTCTTCATCGACAACCAGGTAAGCTTGCATTATCATCTTGTTCAATGGCTCCCAGTCGCCTATCCTGACGCGCTTCGCCTTCTTCACTTGCCCCCTTTCTTCCATCCTTGCAAAGTGTCCCAACGACGTGTACAGAGTTGTGCTCGAGGTGCAACAAATGCAAGACTGACAACTGCCAAGCATGCGAGGACGTTGCTCCACTCAAATGCAAATGTCAGGATCAAGATTGGCTCGGCGACGAGAGGAGGACCGCTGACGGTATGATGCTCGATATTATCTATGCATATTTGGAGGTAAATTATCTGGCTGCTGCTCCGTTTGTGCATTGACGTTGCTGATTGGAGGACGTCTGTTGTTGCTCTTAGTCCACTCAGCGTGGACCTGAAGAGCAGTGTTCCAGGCGCGAACCCGAAACGGAGGACAACTTCTGTCTCTGCGGATTCTGCGACGGGCGAGAACTCTGCGGAAAATGTGGTAATTGCACGGGGACGTGTGAATGTGACTCGGAGGGCGAAGAAGAAAGGGAAATGGACCCTGTCGATGTCCTGATATCTCAAGTAAACGAGATATTGTCCGTACCTGAAGGAGATGACGCCGACCTCATCTTGGAGGGAGAGGCCCTCCTCGACGAACTCCACATGCTTCTATCATCGCCGCATCCTCGGCGGTTCAACCTAGCGAACGCAGCAGTCTCGCTAAATGAGGTATGTCCATTCCAAACAATATCTTTCCATAGGATACTATACCGGGAAGGGCATGATATGGACTGTTGTGAACTGACCAACCAACCATTGCACATCCGTAGCGTATCGACATCGAATGGCCCGCTTGGGCTGCTCATGTTAAATGTAACACCGGCGAGGATTGCCACCGAAGGGACCCAACTGTTAGTCTTTTATGTTATGCCTACATCGTTGAATGGTCCTGACTGACCATATGGTTTTAGTTTTTTGCCTGGATCAATCAGGTCGATATTCTTCCTGATCCGATCAACTTACGGCCAACGAAATGCTCTACGACTCCCGGTCCTGAAGAGCATCGAACGACTGTGGCTCCGACGATGGCTACGGAACCACTCACTCCCGCTGCTGGCGATGAATTTGATGAAACAAGGTCCGAAGGTTCTCCAGTGGGTCAAACTACTGATCTCGGCGGACACGACTTGGACGACACCCACCATGCCTTAAGTCCAGCCAAAAATCTCGAACGCGACGATGAGGACGAAACGGCTCCCTCCGAACCATCCGCATCCGCATCCTCTTCGAAGTTGGCTACTCGTACCTCCGAACCTAAGAAGCTATCTCATCGTGCCCCAGCATCAGAAGAACACGGCGGACCTGAGGAAAAGGAGAACAGGGCTCCCAAGCGAAGCCGTGAGTGTGATACTGATGATGAGAAAGGCGCAAAGAGGTTTGAGAAGCGTCGCAGGGTCGGCTAAAGCAACTTATGCTGGTCGTGCGATATGGGGACTGGGGGCCTCCAGACGACCATGAAGACGGTGCTTTTCCTCCACATATTTCGCTGGTCCAATCTTCGCAAACGCCCTTCACCATACGAATGCTCTCTGCGCGGCGCTGGCCATTTTCCGTTCTCTCGGAAGCCTTCGTCCGCCTTGCCAACATCGAGCTTCTATTCCACCTCTCTGTTAGTCTCTTCCGCAGCGTCCGCAAAGCCAGACCAATCTCCAGCTCTGGTGTTTTGTATGCTCACGACGGGTATCGGCTTCGTACTGCTCTCGAGACTCATTGTACCAAGTGGGTCCCATGGAACACCTCGAATCAGCCCCCGGGATATACTTCCTCTTCTACGGGCGCAGTGACCTCGTTCTCTACTCTGTACTCCTGGCTAGTTTTCAGGAGTGCATCCACGTCTCGTTCGTGGATTTGTTTTCAATCTATTTGCTTTCCTCTTCTCCCGTGTTTAGTGTCTTATGTACTTTATTTAACGCTATCCTGCCTCGTCGTATATAGTTGTTCTTTTTCATTCGTGATGTGTTTCTCGCTCTATCAATTCTCATCACATAAGGCTTGTTTGCCGTTCTGTTCCTCCCCTTTCCCCTTACCTTCCCCATGTCCATATCCTCTTCTGCTTCCCTCTCCCGTTTGAGTATCTCCTCTCTTCCCAACTCAACACTTTCTCGGAATTATCTCCCTTTTTGTTTCTCGCATACGTTTGGCTAGTTCGTTTATAGATATTTTGATGGATGACTTGTCTGTCTGCTGTAGTGCATTGCGTTGTATTTGGACCTGAGCTCGGCGTGAATTTCTCCTGCACCCATAACGTCGTTCAGGAGACACAAGTCATCACAATCTTCGTTCTCGGAAAGCAGAATTTCATTGATCTCGATAGATAGATATCTGATAACTTACGATACCACGAGAAGAACCGTGGGCCACAAAAGTAGAGCGAAGTGGCCCCGGAGATGGTCACGAGACCAGTGTTGACTGTATATCGTCTGTACGGATGACACCGAGCAACTCCTTCTCGCCCAACAGCACCCTCGTACAATCATCCACCACCAAATCGCCCCACAAGCACTCTGAAACCATATATTCAATGGCCTCTTACCAATCGTTGTCCCTCGACTCGAAAGTCCAAGGTGCCTACGGGCACGATAATCTCATGGGCCTCCAAATACCCAATGGGCCAAGGTACCTCAACGACGACCATCGCACAACGAGTGCCTACTCCTCATCGTCGATGCTTGAGTTTGGATCGTGGGGAGAAAACACCGTCGACAAGGCTTTCAATCCTCGCAGCCTTACGTCCAACTCAAGCCCCGGTGACTTCAACTCCTTGACACAAGAGAGGCACCAGCAGGGAAAGTCTCGCCAGGTGGGTGCAATCGCTTTGAACCTATTCTTTTCATTTCATTCTCGTCCATCGACGCTGACTTTTTTCATCCTACAGCCTGTGGCGATGTCATCCAAGCCACTGCCAATCGTGCAATCGGGGGGGATGTACGGCATCCAAGGCGCGTCGTCGTCGTCGTCGCGCGAGTGGACGGAGGTCTGTCTGCTCATCCTACATTGAGACGTGTCAGTGAACTGATCAGTATTCTAGTATGATCCCATGATTTCGATGGGGCCTGGTAGCACGGGGACGAGTGTCTCATCCGACGACTCCAACAGTGGCCGCGTAGCCAGGCATTCGACGGCGATGGGCGACGACACCCTCAATGTTGTCTCTAATATGGCAGTCACCCAAAGCCACGTACGTCTTTCGCCTTGCATAACTTAGTCTAATATAATATTGACACAGAGACCGCGTCTGCCCAGCCCCAGATGCCTCGCGCTCTCCCTGCTGGAAGTGCGCAAGCGGCACAGGCGCAGAGTGCTTCAGCGCCAGTTCCACCGTTGCCGACGGCCGACCAGCCCACTATTGAGACGAAGCCTGCTCCGAAAGTAAAAACCACTTCGAAGAACAAAGCCGCTCTAAAGGAGAAAACCGCTCCGAGGAGGAAAGCCGATCCAAAGGACAAACCCGTCCCGAAGGACAAACCCGCTCCAAGGAAGGAACGCGCACCCAGGAGCACTCCCCTACATGCTGGAAGACATACGAAAACGGTCAAGGAGACCGGATTTATCGTTGAATATTCCCCACCTCCCGAGATTGTCGTCGCACCCCCGCAAGCCGTCCTGCCTTCCCAGATGCCAGTTCGCCGATGGGTGGACTCCCAGGTCAAACAGGGAAGGCCTGTCAAGGTGCCCTTGCCGAAAGTCGAATACGGGCAGCAATTGGAGGAGTGGGACATAGGCTCACCCGTGGAGCAAGGGACGGGGGAACGCGGAGAAGGGAACGCGGCGGCGGATACGAAGGGGGCGACTTCATCTGCGTCCTCGGGCGGGAAGAGGAAGAGGGGGAGGAACGAGGTGGAGGATGGGGAGGAAGACAACGTTGGACCGAAGGGGAAGAAGAGGCGGTCGAACGCACCACGAGGGGGGACGGCTGGAAGAAAAGTGGCCGCTGCGGCGGTACACCAACCAGAGCCAAAGCCCCTCAACAATTAACCAAGTGAAGGTATAGCAGCTCAGACTGACGGCGATGGGCCGTCAGCTGGAGCTAGCTAACCAGTTTCACTCGGCAACCGTGAAGGGTTGAGATGCTCCGAGAAGGAGATGTCGATCCTGGGGCCGTGTGAAAATTCTGATGGAGGGTGGGGAGACATGGGGGTTGTAGAGAAGAGGGGACTAGGCGAGCGGGGAGTGAGGCGTGATGAGAGGGGCAGTTCGCAGTGAAGGGGTTGCGAGATGGTTGCGAGTAGGGGGATAGGTTTGACGGTTTGCTTCGGAGGGGGAGTTCTCAGCTATTTATCATTTGTGATTCCACTCATCTTCTATTTTCCCGGCCTCTTTTTATCCTGTGTCCTCTTTCGTCCGCCGTGGCATGAGGAACATCGGCTCCTGGTCGTTGCTGGACGTCACGATGACCTTCGAATATTGTGATTTCGGCCCAGATCAAGGAACGGGTTCCCGCTAGGCTTTGTGCTTTTTTTTTTGACTCTATCTTCGAGATCGTCGCTTTGCTTGATTCTTTACCTCCTGTACGAGTCTTACGTTCCGATGGTTAGCAGCGACTGCCTGCGGCGAGGATTGAACATACGCACCTGCCGTCTCGCTCCAGGTCTTGCTACCTCCTTCCGTATTCTCGTTCTCCTATCTTCATTGTGGGTCCATACGTACACGGTTTGTACTCCATACTGGGTGAAATGGCATCGAGAGCGGTAAATAAAACGCACCGATATCGTTTCTTCATCTTTTCTACCCTACAAACTGGCACCTCGGACTCTTGTGGTGTTCTTATCTGTCCATCTGTCGGTATTTTTCATTGTCTTCAGCGACACGGAAAAATGCACGGCCCTTTCGTTCACTGTGTCCGTACCTGCACCATGCGTGAGCCTTGCGTGAGTTGGCAACGGACGTCGTGCCCTCGAATCATCGATCCACGCACCATAAGACCGCATGCCAGCATGAGACTCCGGGTCGTTTCTCGGAGAACAGTCGGGCCTTCCAGCAATTGTTTCCTAGAGTAGAAATTATCTTCTTTTGGGCATAGAGACAAAGACCTGGACGAATTGTTGAGGGGACAAGCTCGGCCTTCGATGCTTTTTCCGCGTCGGTCGGTACAGGTCGGTACGCGGTTGATAAAGTTCGTGTGGCGCCGCGACTCGGATGTGGCCCAAGTTCAACGTGCAGTCTCAGTATGTATCCGTTCATTCACGTTCTTAGGCCTAGGAGTATACAATATTCATGTGCACTCAAAGGAGTGAAAAATAATAACCAGCGTTTGTGTGAGAGCGATACAAGTAGGTAGTCAACTCAACCCGCCGCGTGTTCTTCGAGCCCGACGGCCACAGCGAATGTGAGTCTCTAATAAGCCCTATCCTTCCATCCAGAACTATCCCATTCTTCCCTGCATCCATCATATGCACGTATCGAAAACGCATCGGAATAATGTTGCATCGATCACGGAATCGGAAGGCGAATGAAGGGATCCAGAAAAGTAGTCCAGCCCAGGCTAGAGCTGTGGAAAACAGAGATCGACCTCCCAAGCGTAGTAGAAACAGTGACAATCGGTGCCGTCTAGAGTTGAGAGCTATAATCCAGTCAAATGGGGACGATGTTGGAAGAACACGTCCATCGACTCGTTGTCCTTTGAGAGGCCGCGAAGCATGAGACTCTGGATTGATGGGGCTTTCAGCCAAGGGGAGATCTCATTGCGGGAGTAAGGAGTCAATGTACAGTGTAACTAGGTCAGAGAGTCTTCAGGTTTCACATTCTATCGATGGGCTGCCGAAGTAAGGAGAGACCGAGCTCGTACTCTCTGAGATACCCTGGAGTCACGACCGCATCAAGTACGACAAATCGCGTAGTTTCTAGATCCCTTGGTCCGAGTGGATCATACGAAGCTCACAGTCCTGTAGGAACCTACACTCGGACTCCTCATTTTACCGATCTAATTAGTTCTCCACATCGAATAGCGATATGTCCGAATATATCTTGCGAGTTGCTGAATCGTCAAATAGAGCAACCAGGGACTAGATCCAGACAGACCGAGAGCAACCAGGACTATCCAGCAATCTTGAGCAATCTTGAAGATGGGGATGAAAAGCTCTTGCAGCATATTCTGTTATTTCCGCCGCCATTATGTCGCGACCAAACACAGCGAGTTCAGTTAGAGACCGTTTCTTCTTATCTTATCGCGCTGATGGCGACGCGCCTCAATTTGATTCGGAGTTCAAACCGTTCTTGTTCCTGGCGGTGGCGTGTCGCTCTTTGTTGTTGCCATCATCTCACCAGTTGGAAGACTCCTCCCCGTTGCATACTTTGCTCGCTGCATCTTTTCCTTGACCTTAGTATCTTGCATAACTGTATTCACTTGTGAGTAACTTGCCTCGCCAGGCTCTCCAGCGAGGTGCTTACTCTGGTATTGAATGTACGTTGCCTTGGTTTCCTCGCAAGCCTGAATATGCCAAGCGCCAAAACGAAGGGTAAAAAGGCGGATAAAAAGGCCAAAAAGGACCCTAACGCTATTCCAGAGCCAAAATTCAGCTTTGACCTGGAGCCTCGCCCAAAACCTCAGGCCGACGCTTCTGCGCAGAAAGCGAATATCGGGGTTCGGTTACCTCCTCTTCTAGACGGACTGCCCCCGGAATGGGAAAAGCATGTCAACTGGTCGGATATGACTTACTATATGTGCCAATCCATGGGAATACCTGGTAATCGAACATATTCGTTGTACGCATTCTTGAAAGCTCACTGCCAAATACTTCTCTCAAAGATCTCGACACTAAAGCTGGTCTGAAGAACGTACACTATAACTTTGCGCATTACGCACGTCAACTTGACAATTTCTTCACACACATACAAGCTCGCGACAAGAAACCCCACCAGGTGCGAGGACCAGCGCTGGTAGTAGTTACGTACAGTAAGATGTGCGCAGATAACGTGCTGCTAAAAAGAGTTTTACTCGAGACCAGTACGTTTGCTTAGCTTCAACTCGTGCTCTACTCATCGTCGTACCTTCTCTCCCACAGACTTCGTGAAAATGGTTGAAACGCTCCTCTTTGACCCTCACTGCCAACTTATCGTCGCCGGTCTCCTTTGGAGGATAAGCTGCAATTGCAGCTTCGACATGCGAGAGGAGCTGGCTGTTCGAACGTCGAAAATCCTCATGGACGTCATTGAGAGGTTCCCATCCGACGTCAAATTGTCGAAACTCGCAGTCGCCACGCTTACTGAAACGTGTCTCACTCTCACTCATCACGATCCCTTGCAAACCCCAGCGCGCCGCTCTTTGCTCGATACACGTCGACTGATCCGACTCCTCGTCTCCGTCGCACGCAAACCAGGCTTCATACAACTCGTTGCTCCCTATCTGTCCGGAGCGTCTTGCATGTGCTATGAAGATTTTGTCGACATTCCCGAGGCTACCGATATCCTTATCTCCCTCATCCGTTGTCCGCAAGTCAGGACTCGGATGTGTGGCCTGGGCGGCATCCAGAGACTTTATCTTGGCTATGAAGAGGAGGACGTATTGGGCTCTAATATTACCCCTGAGGTACTCGTCAAGCTCCTACAAACTACATCGTCAACGAACCCAGATCTTCACCGCGAGCTGCTCGCTTTCGGCGGGTACGAAAAGTCGGAGGCTTATGGGGTACTCCGTAATATGAACGCCACTACGGAGGTCATGAACAAGCTCTTCCGCGATCGCGACTTTTACTCTTTCGGAAAGGCGATGGCCCCGTTGATCATCAAGGTCGAATACCTTCTCCTGACAGCTGCATGGCCGGAGGCGGAGGCACGTAGGACTGGCTTTCCCTGCCGCACGTACCAGGAAGCCTGGCCTCTCGGCGCGAAGGCCATCCGCGAACGTGGCGTACCAGAGGAAACGTACTTGGCCGACATCCTCGACGTCAAATATCTCATGTCCTTAGGTCAAGAAGACGAATCGCGCGCGATGGCTGCTTCGCTCACCGAGAAGCATCCGAACGTCCCATTCTTCTACTACGTTGCCAGCCTCCGGGAGGAAGACATGCAGCTGGGTCTACAATACGCGAAGAAAGGACTCAAGTGCCCCGGTCTGACGCCATACGTTCGCTTCAATCTCTTGTACTGCACGCTATACAACGCCTTCCAGATCTCCCAGGATAAGCTTCGATTTGCCTCTACAGCGAGTGCGCAGACAATCGCCGAGGGCTTTGCGTACGCGAGGAGCTCCATAGAGGACGCGGAGACGTACATGCGAGAGGCACCACCAGATTGTCGATGGTTGCGACCCATCATTTATATGTGGATCCAAAATTTGCTGCTCCTGCGAGGGCATGAGCTGACGTTGAAATCTCCAGAACTTGTGGTGAGTCGGGCTATCCGTACGCTGTAACTTTCACTCAGTCTTCGCACGAATTTTAGGAAGCGAAGCGCAGGCTAAAGCTAGCTGACAAAACCTCTCTCCTTCTCAACCAACGTCTCAATCGCTCCTTCGGCCGTATGACCTCCCTCGTTTTTCTCGAACGTATGGGCGACGCTTGGGCTGAATGGGGTCCCATCGTCACAGAATGGCAAGAATCCGTGGCGGTTTTCGAAAGCTCACTTCCTCCACCGGTCGACGTCCCGAACGATGACTCGGAAGAAGGCTACTTGGCCTGGTCGGAACGAGTCAATAACGCTGTAGCTGCTGAGGGATCGAACGGAGACGATACGTCTTGGCGGAAGGCGATGGCGGAGGTTGGGAAATTCACGAGCGCGGAATGGGACTCCTTGGTGGAGATGAACCGGTGTGCGTGGTGCAGGACCCCGAGCGTTGTGTTGAAGAAGTGTAGAGGCCAATGCTCTACCAAGTAGGAAATTTCGGTCTAGCTGATATTATCCGAACGTACCTTACTAAAGGCTCCTACTCTGTTCCCCTACTCTGTTCCAGGTACTGCGACAAGACTTGCCAGAAGCAAGATTGGCCGAGCCACAAGAAAGTCTGCGAGGACTATAATGGCACGATCTAGTTGAAAGTATTGCGCTTGTACGGACATTCGCTCGCAGTTGCCCAAATATTTTACTGTTTTCCTACTAGTTAATATCAATGCCGTTCTGTAGTCAAGTCGGTGAGAAAGTATCGCGTCAAAACCCATCGTTCAATACCTGCTCAAGGCCACATTCAGATACTTACGCTCTGAAGTAGTACCACTTTTTGTTCAGCGTTTTGCTGGCTCGTCACACACGTATGGCGCACTTGTCATTCTTAGATATCTTCTATATATATGACTGCAGAATATGTACCCTGGGAACTTCGCGGTGTGCAAAAAAATTGATGAAAAAATATATATGTAAACAACGACGTGTCTTGACCGCGCCACAGTCGTGTCGCAGCGCGCACGTCGACCACGTGATCCCTGGACACGGCCTCGTGGCGTGAGGATCGGTGGCTCGCTCACCGCTTCTTTTGTTCTTCTTCATCACCTCCTCCAACGCGACACTGTATCTACACTTTAAAGGTTCTTATCATTTAGCTCAGCAACTCCTGCCATTCTATAAACCATAAACTCAAGGTATTATCTCAAAGTCCTGAAACTTATTGTCTGAATTTATGAGCTCATATTCAATTGCACTTAACGCAGGGTCCGTCGACTTGCTGTCCCGTTGCTGTTATGGCACCATCTGGAAGAAAACGACCTAAAAAAAGGAACCCGAAGAAACCTTCTAACGTAGGTCCTTTTTCTCTACGTCTGGGAACGAGCTTGACGAGAGTCTGATGCTAAATTTCTCTGTGTTCAAGTCGTCGCGATATGTGCTAGAGATCCCTGAGGACGTGCAAGAAACCTGGGCAAGTCTGGGGTCTTGGCTCTCTAAAGCTCTAGGTCTACCAGGTCTGCAATCCCTCCGTCTAGGTAATCTTGACACGTTTCTGATCCTTTTTTCAGATCTCGACACGACAAGTGGCCTGAGGAAAGTTCATAGGGAGTTTGAGAACATATCGAGGACGGTCGACGAATTTTACACATTCGCGCGCTCTTTTCCCGGTTACGAGCCTCGCATAGCTGCCGGCGCCGTTGTAATCTACAGCAAGCTGTGCGCGGACAATGTCCTTCTCAGACGCATCATACTGGAAACTGGTACGATTGTGTGGTTCTTTTGTGTACTCGGTCTCACCGCTCAATCTTTCTGACAGGGTACCCGAAGATGGTTGAAAGCCTGGCTCTCGAACCAACGTGCACATACATCGTCGCTGGCTTAATCTTCAGGGTCTTTTGCCGCTGTGACAAAAGCATGCGGGAAGAACTCGCGATTCGAATCTCCACGGTACTTATGGATATCATCGACCAATTCTCCGACGACCCGAACCTGCCGAGACTTGCCGCTGCGATCCTCTTCAGTTCAGTAACTAATGTGGTCCAAAGGTCGGAAGAGTGGAATCCCTCGCCGATCGACGTCCCCCGTCTAGTGCATACTGCGCTCTCCGTCGCTCACAAGTCAGGCCTCATGGGGATCGTGGCCCCCTTCCTTGCCAACTGCGCGCTCGACTGTCATAAACTTTATCTGGCGAATCCCAAAGCGATCGATATCCTTGTTGCACTCGTTCGCTCTCCACACTTCCCTACACGTATGCAGAGCTGTCGTGGTCTCCAGGGGATGTACTTCCCGGATGAGGAACCGGAGGATCTCGGGCCCTTCGATTCCAACCGCATGTTGAAGATGTTCCAAAATCCGTTGTCTCCCGAGCTCCAGCGGGAGATGGATATCTTTGGGGGCCTACACAAGTCGCAAGCGTTTGCCGTCACCGTCTCCGTGGCCAAATGCTGCAGTGCAATGGACAAAGTATTTCGCGACCGCGACTTCTACGCTCACGGCAAGGCGCTTGTTCCTCTGACACTTGAGGTCGAGTACTTTCTCTGCCATGGGGGGTGGGATGCTTCGGAGATCTCACAAACTGGCTTCCCCTGCCGCACGTTTCGCGATACGCTATTTCATGCTTCCAAGGCCATTCGAGAGCGATCTACTCCCGGTAACGGAGAGGAATGGATGGCCGATGTTCTGGAGGTCAAATATCTCTTGGCGAACTCACGATACGAGGAAGCCGCCACGCAATCTCTTCGCTGCATCGAGAGTTATCCAAATGCCGCCTTCTTTTACTACGTGGCGTGCAAGGAGGAATCGGATGTCGATAAGGCTATTCGATTGGCGAAGAAAGGACTGCGGTGCCCCAATCTTACACCATACGTCCGCTTGAATCTCCTCTACAACGCAGCGAACTCGGCTTTCTTTCAGGCAGACTTGAAGCTAAAGGATGAGGGGGGTGGAGCTACGCTGGAAGCCTACGACTATGCAATGAGTGCACTTGAGGACGCGAGGGAGTATATACGCCTGTCCCCTCCCGACGCTCGAAACCTGAGACGCACGATTTATATCTATATTTTGGCGCTTTTTGTTCTGCGGGGTAACGAACTCACTTTGAATTCGCCTGAGGTAGTCGTAAGTCACTTTCCGGACTCTTCGAGCTCTATATACTTTCATGTCTAACACGGAACCTCACTTCTCCTTCTCCAATCGTCCCTAGGATGCTAGGCGAAGGCTCAGGCTTGCCGACGAAGTTTCCAAAATGGTCGACCAGCCTATCAGCAAGTCTATCGCTCGGTCAACCTGCCTTGCATATCTAGACCGTCTCGACCATGCACGGAATGAATGGGGCCCGTGCATCGACGAGTGGGATGTAATCCACAAGAAAAACTCGATTCCAGACACGGACCTGCCAATGAACTCCCAGAGTGAAGCGGCTTGGCTGGAAAGCTTAGATGCGGCCCACAAAAGGGACGCTGCAATCGATGGTGGCTTCGCCAATCCAGCGAAGCCAGAAGACCGGTGGACTATCGCAGACCTGGAATCGCAGGCGAGCCTTCGTCGCTGTACTTGGTGTAGAGCGCCGAGCGTGGTTCTTCGCAAATGCAAGGGCGAGTGCCCGGCGAGGTAAGTCTCCACTGCTTCGTCATATCTTGTTCGCCTTGCTGACTATGAAACAATGACCACGAACGGTGAACCAGATATTGCGATGCAGCTTGTCAGAAGCGTGACTGGAAGACACACAAGAAAACATGCGCCAACGTAGCTGGAACGTAGGGACCATCATTTGCACTTTTCGGTAGCCTGTACATAGATATGTACTCTCCACCGTCTGTTCCGTGCGTGTATTCTGTAGGCCTTCGAATCGATACTGCGGGCTGTGTTCTTCTTATTCCTCGCACCAAGGAACTTATTTTGGCTACGCTACTCTCGGAGACTAATCACTGGCATCACTTTGTACTGTAAATGCTCTTATCTTGCTAGTAGTGATATATAATCACAGAGGGAAATATGAAGACTCAATTTGGGCCACAGTGGCTATACGCGCCACTGACGCGTCCACAACAGGGACAAATTGATCGCGACGCGTCGCGTTGAACAACGCGTGACGCTTATATATAAGACTGTCGCGTCTCGATTCCCACCTTATTCCTCACTTCCCCTCCCCCACCACCTCCCCACACACCCGGTGTTACTCTAGATTATTATCTTTTACACGCCGAACATCTTCGCAATGGCATTATTATCAACGTCATCGTCAACGCCGACAATGGCGTACGTCTTCAAGCGAGGTAAGTTTTCAGATCTTCATACCTCGACGACGATGCACGTACCGCCGCCCGTCGAGCGCGTTGAACTTCACATTGACGCGCCTATTTTATAGATGGGTATGTTGTCATTGGATGAATCTTAGTTGAATGAGTCTAATTAACTTGAACCACCCTGGTTGCTCGCAGGCGGAAAGAGAGTATCCAAGCTGACAAGGTGCGTCCGCTCGGTTTCATCTCTTAGTGTTCTCTGAACTTACTCTTTTATTTCACTTCTCTATAGCTTACTGCACGGGTTAAGAAGCTATCTTATGGTCTCGATGACATGCATCTCGATGCCAACGAGTGAGTCCTGCTACATACACGAACGCGACCATCCCTCACCCCTCGCCTATAGAGTCACACAGAAGGTCATCCAGGGCGTGTATCCTGGAATCACGACCAGTGAACTCGACGTATGGCTTACTCCTTACTCTGAGAAGATGATCGACACTAAAGTGACGTTTCAGAATCTTGCGGCAGAGACGGCCGCCTACCTCACAACCAAACACCCAGACTACGCTATTCTCGCAGCTCGGATCGCGGTCTCGAATCTTCACAAAACGACGAAGGAAAGCTTCTCCCAAACCATCTCTGATCTCTATCACTATGGTTCGTCTCGATTTTGTACACCTGTTCTGTGATCCTGACTCATGTCTGCCCACGCAGTCAACCCCAAAACAGGCAGAGCGGCGGGGATGATCTCAGATGAGACATACAAGTTCGTCAATGAACACGCAGAACGTCTCGATTCGGCCATTGTATGGAGTCGTGACTTCGAATACAACTTGTGCGTCCGTATCCACCCCTATCTTAATGTCGTCTTACCTTGTTCTTCTAGCTTCGGCTACAAGACCCTTGAGCGGTCATACCTGCTCAAAATCAACGGTCGTACAGCCGAGCGTCCGCAACACTTGCTTATGCGCGTTGCTTGCGGTATCCATCCTAATGACATCGACCGCGCTCTTGAGAGCTACACCCTTATGTCGCAGCGCTACTTCACACACGGCTCGCCTACGCTCTTCAATGCTGGTACGCCGAACCCGCAGTTGGCGTCCTGCTTCCTCGTTTGTATGAAAGACGATTCCATCGAGGGTATCTACGATACCTTGAAGTCTTGCGCCATGATCAGCAAGTCTGCAGGCGGTATTGGTCTTAACATCCACAACATTCGTGCTACTGGGTATGGTCTCTTCGTCGACTACGCGTCTGCTCAGGAATTTACGTCGGCTGCTTTAGTTCCTATATCGCAGGAACGAATGGCTACTCCAACGGAATTGTACCTATGCTTCGCGCGTTCGACGCCACGGCTCGTTATGTTGACCAGGGTGGTAACAAGCGTCCCGGTGCCTTCGCTATCTATCTCGAGCCTTGGCATGCGGACGTATTCGAATTCCTCGACCTCCGTAAGAACCACGGAAAGGAAGAAGTCCGTGCCCGTGACCTATTTTACGCATTATGGATCCCGGACCTCTTGTATGTGGCTCTGCTTTGTCTTCCTTGCATCTATGTCTGAGCCCTGCTACTCGTTCACAGCATGAAGCGCATTGGCGAAAACGGCAACTGGTCCTTGTTTTCTCCTGACGAGGCCCCCGGTCTCCACGAGGTTTACGGTGACGAGTTCGAGGCCTTGTACGAGAAATACGAGCGTGAAGGAAAGGCGATGAAGACTATTCCTGCCCAGAAGCTTTGGTATGCCATCATGGATGCGCAGATCGAGACGGGTGGTCCTTTCATGTGCTACAAGGATGCTGCCAACCGTAAGTCTTCGTAGAGTGTCCTGAATCTTATCCTTGTTCACAAACTATTTTTTTCTTTGTCCAGGCAAGACGAACCAGAAGAACCTCGGCGTCATCAAATCTTCCAACCTTTGCACCGAAATCATGGAGTACTCCGCTCCTGACGAGACCGCCGTCTGCAACCTCGCCTCGCTCGCCTTGCCCAGCTTCATCGAGAACGGTGTTTACAATTTCCAAAAATTGCACGACGTTACGAAAGTTGTCACCTATAACTTGAACCGTGTCATCGACCTCAACTTCTACCCCATCCCCGAGGCTCGTAACTCGAACATGCGCCACCGGCCCATCGGTCTCGGCGTTCAAGGTCTCGCCGATGCCTTCATGATCCTTCGCATGCCGTTCGACTCGGACGAGGCCAGGAAACTGAACCTGCAGATCTTCGAGACGATCTACCACGCGGCGGTCGAGGCGAGCTGCGATATCGCCAAGGTAGAGGGCGCGTATGCGAGTTACGAGGGCAGCCCGGCGAGTAAGGGAGAGCTGCAGTTCGATCTTTGGGGAGTCAAGCCGTCGGAGCTGTGGGACTGGGCGGAGTTGAAGGCGAAGGTGGCACAGCATGGGTTGAGGAACTCGTTGCTCGTCGCACCTATGCCTACGGCTTCGACCAGTCAGATTTTGGGCAACAATGAGTGCTTCGAGCCGTACACCAGGTATGGCGCTGACCTATATTCTTGTTTTACATTTTCGGATCGAGCTGACGGTTGTCATCTAGTAACATCTACACTCGTCGTGTTCTCGCTGGAGAGTTCCAAGTCGTTTGCCCTTGGCTTCTTCGCGAGCTCATTCGCCTCGACCTCTGGGACGACAACATGAAGAACCGTATCATCGCCCACAACGGCTCCGTCCAGTACATCCCCGAGATCCCAGACGACGTCAAGGCCATCTACAAGACTGTTTGGGAGATCTCGCAGAAGAAGGTCCTCGACCTCGCTGCCGACCGTGGCGCGTTCATCTGTCAGTCTCAGAGCTTGAACATCCATCTCCAGGCTCCAACTGTTGGTCAGTTGACGAGCATGCACTTCTACGGGTGGAAGCGTGGCTTGAAGACGGGCATGTACTACTTGAGGACGAAGCCTGCTTCCCAGGCGATTCAGTTCACGCTGGATCATAACTTGGTGAAGGAGACGAAGAAGGCCCAGGATAAGAGGGGCGTTCAGAAGGCCGAGGCATCGAGGGCGTCGGAGAAGGAGGCGGCAAAGACGGCTTTGGAAGCACCCGCCGCCAAAGCTACGGTCGATGCTGCTGTCAAGCCCGAGGGTGGATTGAGCACCCCACCCCCCGAGTCCAACGTTCCTATCGTTCCCGTCCAGTCTGACTCCCAAGCTTCGACCGATTCTTCGCGTTCTTCACCTGGTCCTGCCACCCCGGCCGAGAACACTGGCGCTCCTGTCGACCTCATGAAAGCCCTCGAGAGCATGAGCTTGGACGACAAGACGAAGGAGGCTGCTGCGAAGGATCCCGAATTTGCGGCGGCGTTGTTGAAGGCACAGGAGAGGAAGTTTGAGGAGGAGAAGCTGATGTGTTCGCTCGAGAACAAGGAGGCTTGCCTCATGTGCTCGGCTTGATAGGTCCCATTTCCATCTCCTCATTTGAATATTGGCTGTAGCTATATCCTCTCGCTCTTTTGTGATGTTTGTCCGTTATCAGCGATCGCCAGTCGTTTTTCGTTGATCGGTACCCCTAATATTCCTGAAGCAGTCTTACTATATCTGTTCGTATCTCGTTAGCTCTGTTCTCGTATGTATTGTCCTGTATGTTTAGACCATCCATATGCATGTTTTTCTTTGTTACCCTCGAACGATAATCTATAAAGACTTTCATGTCAATGTCCGTGTGGCGGTGGCGTTCATCTTCGCCGCTGTGCACCGTCGATGATCGAGTTTCTTCACCTCGACTACCAAAGCTACTTCACATATCCTACATCTTGTCTTGTGTACATGGACCAAATTTTACGCTGATCCTTATTCTTAAAAACCCGCGGTCCCATTTGCGAAGCACGGCAACCACTCATCCAACGCCAACTGGAACAAGCCCAACCCCGAGTAAAACGGCTCCTGCGATATCGGACTGTAGAATCCTACGGTCTTAAAGTCCGTGTGGTTGGAGTCGGGCGTGAGTAAGACGCGCATGTCGCTGACGTGGACCATGTTAGCATGGGTGAGGCCGAAGAAGGAGGTGTTGGTTGAAGGGGTGTTGCACCTATACGAATGAGAATGAGGCTTGGTGGCGTAGGTGTGAAGTGGATATTGAGAGAGAATGACAACGTACGGAGGGACGGCGGGATTGGGCAGGCGATGAGGAGCGTTATCTTCAATAGAGGCTAAGCCCATCGTTCGCCAGGGATCGACTACAATCACCTTGATCAGAAAATCCTCCCTGTATTCGAGAGCTTTCATGACTTACATTCTCCGTTGGTGAACAGTATATTGGATGGCGCCATATCCCATCCTCCGTACTTATTGATATTGCCTACGGCAGGCGATGGCGGCAGACCTTCCGGGAACGTCGAGTTACATTGACTTTGATACAGATCCAAAGAGAGGAACGAGGTCTCGATGGAGAGGGGGTTGTTGGGATCTCCACGCTGGTAAAAACCTTAGCCCGGCAACGCAATAGAGTGAGTTAAGACGGCTTTCGAAGGACTATCAGGTCGCTCCTTGAGATGACGCACCATACTCTGAGCAATATTGCCACATCCACGACCGATCCGCAACGGGGTCGTCCGCGCCACCTGTGATGGAGTCGTAGTCGATTTCAGCAAGGGCGGTCAGGAAAGATTCGAAAGCGACCTCGACTTCTTGGGTAGAAGCAATACCGGACTCGAGAGCTGGTTCTGTAAAGTTTTGAGTTTCGAGGATGTTACAGAATGGAAGGAGGGAGGCGTTGAAGCCGTAGTACTGGAGCATCGTAGATGAATATCTTATCCCATCTTCAACCGGGTATGAGAGTAAGACGCACCTGATAGAAATCCAACGGGTCCATAAGGATGCTCGCCGCATCCACATTACTCGTCCTATTCGCCTGCTCCATCGTCAAATTCGCCGCCCCACTCGTATTACCGCCCGGCCCACTCAACCTCGCCTTCAACAACTTAAACTTCATCTCCGTCCTCTCCGTCTCATTCGCACCCTCACCAGAACCTCCCAAAGTCTCATCCACGAATCTCGTCACAGCCACCCAATCCGCCGAACAGTTCCTCGTAAGACTCCTTTCCGCCGCCTTATAATAACTCGCCATATCGACCTGCGCTTGGACGGGCGCGGAGCTCGCCCAGGTCGCAAAGATCGTCGAAGGGTTACGTTGCCGGAGGAGTGAGCCTCGGATGCCGGGGTAGGAACCGCCGAGGAAGATCCAGGGGGTGGTGGAGGGGTGGAGGGACGAGTTGAAGTTGTTTGCGAAGAAGATGACGTCTTCGAGGGCTTGTTCGGTGGTGAGGAATTGCCATTGCGATGCGGTGGTGTTGGCCTGGACACGTGTATTTGTGTCAGTTTGGGAAGAGTTATGGGTTTGGATGGGGTTGAGCCTGGTGAAGAGGACGCACATTCACGGGGAAGGGGAGAGAATCGCCGTAGAATCTATGCTCCCATAAGATAGCTAGTCCGTTGTACCGTTTGGCCAGACGCATCGTGGCCGACAGGCCATGATACTCCTGCGAGCGAAATCCACATTAGATGGGTCCATCTCGCCGCCAACTACGCTCACTTGTAAGTAGTAGGGTAACAGCGGCTCTGCATCTTGCTCTCCAGAGTCGAATACTGGTTCAAATTAGTCAAATAATCCGGAAGAGAGAGTTTACGTAGCTCTACGTACGGAAAACAGGCCCACCAGATTCGTAGTAGGTGTCGTTGACCCAAAAACGGTTCGCAAAACTGTCTGTGTTGTTTGTCGTCCCAAAATGGTCGATTGGAATCTGATACACACACGCAAGATCGAGAACGGACCACATGATATCGAGAATATCACGCACCTGAATAAATTGTGGATCATTGGGCAGCGTCGCTCCAGCCTCTGGTGCCACCAACTGCTCTCTCGACCGCCAGTGAGGCTGCCTCAACGCATAACACACGTTTCCAAAGGAGAAGGAAAGGATCGCACTAATGGCAGATAATCTGGCGAGCTGCATGTCAGAATGCTGGTGGAGGAGAATTCGACCATTGTCACATACCTTTATGTGGTGATGAAGAGCATGAGCGATAAGTGAGAACCATGGAAGAGAAGATAGGACTATGGACACGCGCCTAATCGCTCCCGTGTTAGCTGGTCATGCAACTTCGAGCCAGAAATGGGACGGCATTTGACACGCTCGCACTACTACTTCTGAGCAGAGAGAAAAATGTGTCAAAAGTGCACCATCAGAGACACCAGCAAGGTTTGATCGTCAACGATAGTAAATGTCCGGGAAGCTATGATCTGACAGGGGTTGAGACGAGTCAGAGCTGACGATCCCGAAAAAAAAGAAATTCGAGAGAGATATACTATTATCGCACGATGATTCCATGATAGCACTCCGGACCGTCTGACGACAATTCTGCTATACTTGCAATCAGTATTAGAAGGCGTAGGAAGCCAGCGAGCACTGAGCAGGGGACCACGAAACATGTGTAGCTTTGAGCTCTGGAGGATTCTGACCGCTCCGAACAAGGCCTGAGTGACTGAACATTGAGATCGACGAGGTGGCTGACCCTCCGTTTGCACTTGGGTACGTACTTCCATATTTCTACGCCTCTCTACTGCTGTCCGACTTATTTCTGTGGATAGTGTCTGACTGTCGCACCGGCAAGCCTTGGACAGTGAGCGATACGTAGACTCGTCAAGGTAAGGTGTCGCTAGTGCCAATGCGCTCGAACTTTGTCTCGGCGACGTTACTGCTATACAAGCCGCTACTGTTGAGGCGACAAGGGATGCTCGAGCTGATACATGGGTTACAAAATGGTTCAAACTGCAATGGGTCTGAGGAAAATTCCGGATTGTCGTTGTTAGAGGAATAATGCGTTGATGGCTTGATGGTTGCCAGCGAAGCAAAAGTCAGGCATGCTAAGAAGATGTTGACCACAAGACAACAACGAGCATGAGAGGGTCTAGGAGAACTCTAGCTTCGTTCTAGCAGGCTCTGGCCGACTACTTGTCAATGAAGCTCGACTGAGGCGTACCCGACGTCCAGGAATTGTCCAGGAAAGAAATGAAACGCATCACGCCACACTGGCGGGCGTTCCCGGTTTGGTTGGCGCGACCCGGGATGGGTGGGAACGGATCCGGCCAAGTGCCTTGCTCTCGACCACAATCTCGAGTCGTCTCGACACGTTGCGCGACTCATCCACGCTGGAGAGGTATGTGAGCCTGCCTTCACCCTCCGAGGCGCTCTCTGAGCGATTTCACTGGAGCGCTTGAGAAAGATGAAGTACTTCATATAAAATTTACGACCCATTCGCGAGCTTTGGCCTACTGCGTGCCGGCACAGTCGACGCTGCGGCCGAATGTGTTTCTTTTTTCTCTCTCTTTTCTCGTCTTTGTTCGCAATGCTGCGAATGTGTAAAATGAACTCAGTCGACTATTGTGATGACATCCGTAATGACGAAAATGGCAACGACGCCACACCAGAAATTAGGGACACTGTCAACGACGAGCTCCGAGGGTGCCTTCACTTCTCTGCAGGTACAAAGTGGAGATCTCATTCCAGTCGACTGGAGTATTGTGGTCGTTTTTGTCTTCCACGGCCGTATAGCACTCACCATGCTGAGCGCAAAGCGCTGAGAAATGATTGTCTCGGTCGGACTTGGTCATCGAGCTTTTCACGGCGACAGATGCCCTGTGCTGTCTTGTTTGCGTTCTCATTTCGCCGTCATGCGAGTCGCGCTGCCTCGCGATCTGGTTCCGTGGTATTGAGTACCGGCACTCACCCATTGCGGGCTGGTTCAAACTCCGCTGTGCCGCGTCTCGCTTACTGCCGTAGCCGAGTGGCTGCAGGCTGTCACTTACTGAACATGCAACACAACAAAGGCAACAATGTGCATAGTGACACTCGATATAGCTACACATAAAATCATCTAAAATACTTTTCTTCAGTTTGGTCGCGACAGAATTTTCTAATTTTAGCGTGAACGAGCTACACGACGGACTGTACACTCATATAAAATCACTCGAGGAGAGTGAAAAAATTCTGTCGCGACCAAATGAAGTGAATGAACGTAAAATAATATCTCAGAATTTATGAGATTTACAGGTGGGGTGTACCTTGCCCTAGACGCGCACTGGTCTCGTACATAGGTGCCACCCAGCCAAATCGGTGAGTCTTGCTGTGGCCCGCGTCGAAATGGCGTGCGGCTTGCCCGGCATCTTTCAAAGTCCGCCAATTTGCAATGGACATGGCGCTTGGTGGGAATGCCGGTACTCAGTGGTATACTGAATAGCCTTCCCGCCTAGTTCCCGGATCGCTCCATGAAGGGTCGGAGAATTTGTCGTGTGTTCGGGAATATATAAACCGCTTGGCCGCCTGCCTTCGGAGTTCGTGCATTGCTTTCGAAACTTTCAACCCTCCACCTATCCCGCCCAGCGTCGTCCGCTTTCTGCAAGCTCCCTAGTAGCTATGCAGTACGGCGTTCTCATGACTATGCCTCTACACTTGCTGCTGCTCACACTGTCACTCATTTCTAATGTCAACTCATATCCCCAACCGCCATCCCCCTATTCACACAGCGCTCGCAGCAGTGCTATTTCTAGACGAAATATCGTCACAGACAGCTCACAACTCTCGGATTCCTATGACTTTATAATCTGTGGAGGAGGAACCGCCGGCCTTGTACTCGCTTCACGGCTTTCGGAAGACTCGAATCACACTGTGTTGGTACTCGAAGCAGGAGATACCGGAGACGCAGAGGCGGACTCCATCAGTGCGTACTGTTTTCTCAGTTCCTTCTAGATTCCCTAAGCCTTTTCCCAGACGTTCCCGCCAATGCCTATTACGACTCCGCTGTCGGCGGCGCCGCTGACTGGGCCTACACCACCGTTACACAATCCAACGCCAACAACCGCGCTATGACCTGGCCAAGAGGGAAGGTACTCGGAGGTTCATCCGCCATCAACGGCATGTACGCCGTCCGACCCTCCCAAATCGAATACGACGCTTGGGCAGCTCTCATTGCAGAAGACGACAGTAGCGCGAGTTCGAAGTGGGGTTGGGATGCTCAGTTCGCAGCGATGAAGAAGGCCGAGACGTACAGCGCGCCTAGCTCGGACACGAGTGAGAACATCGCCATCGAGGCTTCGGACTCCGGTAGAGGGACGAGTGGACCGGTTCATGCGACTTATCCCGAATAGTAAGTCCACACATGTTTCGTCATCCGTCTTATCAATACTAACCTACGGGCAGCATGGTCCCCCTTGTCGGTAACTGGACGTCCACCTTGTCTGCTGCTGGCGTTCCGGAGACTGCGGACGCGTACAGCGGCGAGAACTGGGGAGCATACGTCGCCACCTCCGCCATTAACCCTACGAACTGGACCCGTTCATACTCCCGCTCCGCCTATATCGACCCTCTCGCTCCCCGCTCCAACCTCCAAATTCTTCCCAACGCGCAAGTCACTCGCATCATCTTCAGCAGCTCTTCTGGAAACATCACCGCGAATTCTGTGGAATGGGCCACGAGCAGCTCGGCGGCGAGGAATACGGTGAATGTGACGAAGGAGGTGATCATCGCGGGAGGTGCTATCGGAAGTCCCACCATCTTGATGCACAGTGGAGTGGGTCCGAGCGACGTCTTGGGGGCTGCTGGCGTTGATGTCGTGTACGACCTCCCCGGAGTTGGACAACATCTTCAGGACCATATCGTACGTTCCTTACTCCTCTCGGATGTCGGCTATTGTCTAATCTCGGTTTTTGTTGTACAGAGCACCCAGTTGAGCTTCAGTACGTCGGCCACGACCGCGAAAGCCATCCAAGACTCGGGTGACTACAGCTCCGTAAGCTCTTACCACCGCTTCCTCTCGGCTTGATATTGACTGAAAGCATTATCTATTTAGATCACTGGTGGCGAGACGGCATTCATGTCGTACATCAACTCCGCTACAGCCTACGTCAATATCACTCAGCTCCTTGGGTCTGACGAAGCCCAGACCTTTGCGGACTCCGTCTCCTCTGCTCTCAGCTCTTCCGCTTCGTCCCTTGTTCCCAGCACAGATAGCACAGTCATCTCTGGCTACGAGACGATTTACAACTCCAGTCAATCGCTTTTGATGACCCAGCTGGGCCACATTGAGATCTTGTTCAGTGCGACTACCAGCGATTCGGCTGTTGGGATCCAGATCGCTCTGCAGAGGCCTTTCAGGTGCGTTTCTCTGCATATTACTCGGTGATTCGTTCTCTGACCATTCTATAGTCAAGGACGTCTCTATATCAACTCCTCGGACCCCTTCGTTTACCCCGTCATCGACCCTCAATACCTGTCGAACTCCGCCGACATCCAACTGCTTCGCGCTGGCTTCAAGCTTGCTCGTACGGTCGGTAACACAGCACCTTTGAGCAACTACCTTACCGGCGAGACGACACCCGGAACGTCGACAAGCTCGGACGACGATATCGACACTTGGCTCGCGCAGAACATCGGCACAGAATATCACCCGAGTTGCTCGTGCGCGATGCTGCCGTTGGACAAGGGCGGTGTCGTCGACTCTGACCTCAAGGTTTACGGGCTTTGTACGTTGATTTTCTTCCCTACGTTTGTACGTGTTGTTGGCTGATATTCGGGCGGCGTGTTATAGCAAACGTCCGTGTCGTCGACGCTTCCGTTTTCCCCATCCAGTTCGCCGCTCACTTGGCTGTTCCCGTCTACGGCCTCGCCGAACAGGCCTCCGATCTCATCCGGGCATATTACAACGGCGTCTCCACCACCTCTAACTCATCAACGAACTCCACCGCCACATCGACCAGCTCGTCTTCGGGCCAGACTGGAGTCTCGACGAGCGGTGCGTCGCACGCCGTTCCGTTTTCGACCTCGCCGTCGGCGGTCGGTGCGGTCAGCTTGGGCATGATGCTCTTGGGGTCGATGTTGGTGTTGTAAGGAGTGTGTGACTGTCGTGACGATATTTCGTTTCAGATGGACCTTGGACTTTATTTTCCTTCTCTCTTGATCGACTGATTGGATTCGTTTGTAGAGGTTGTCAACCCTCTATTCCCCCACCGCTCACATAGCATCCACTCTTTGCTTTACGACGGACTATCCCCCCTTACCTCCTACTTTCTCGAGCTCACCTACTACCCCCTCCTTATTTTCCTTCCCTGTCACTCTTCGTAGTGTCACAGTACTATGGTTTCCGTATCTGGGACTAGGGCTGGACCACGAGTCTTTCTTGCAGAACTCTGCTTTCAAGTTCAGTCTAACTCTCGCTTCGACGTGTTCTAGGGCCTTTAGTCTACTCACTAGTACAATAACTGCTCCTAACTGGATGCGCTGCAGATTCAGATCAGACTTTTTCGCATCGTGCATTTTGACATTCGGCATACGACGTTTGACATTCAACATAGACTGTAGATACCCTACGGACACTTGTTGTTACCCGTTCCGCATACATCTCGCTCGTAGTATACTCTACATACCGTTCCACACTACTCTGTCTTCTGTTGTTTCTCTACGTATTACTATTACGACTCCTACCTTTCTTCGCTGTATCCTTTCACATTGCTATTTGTCTGTGTACATATCCTGCATGGACCCGGACTTTGACTCACATCAATCTGATCGCGTCCTTCTGTATCATTCTCTCCTTCTCTTTCGCTCGGAGGAGACGAGTTCTACGGGGTATTGGGCCGTCAACAAGTCTCAGTCATACCAGCGGTAATAAGTGTCAGTCCAGTTTTTTGCTCGGAGTCTGCGGCTGTATGTCTGGATCTGCATGTCCATGGAGGTATAATCATCGGCGTAACGATTTGGACACCAATCGTACCGCAGCGACTGCGAACGGCGCCAGTGCGTTTATCCTCCACAGCAGTCTATGTTTAGCGAGTCACTTATGTACTTACTCGCAGCGAGCACAATAATAGCAGGGTCATACAGCCACACATGACGGCCGGAAGAAAGACTGGTCATGATAGGCTTATTCATGATCCTACACGCATTCCTGCCTATCATTATGACGCAGCTGTTGAAGCTGGTTAATCGACACGGTTATAAAACTTAGCTTCCGGATTTGCGATGATCAGACGGAGGCGAACCGAGGTTTATTTTCGCGCAGGTTGGGACGAGTTTATAGTAACCCCATGGAACGAGACCTGGGGATATGGCGCGCTCAGGGTTGTGGATCTTCACAAGGGAATGAGCTCAATGGGCTCGTTATGAAGTCCAGTCCGGCGAACTTGAGAGGAGATGGTAGGAATTGTGGTAAGATTGGGCGAAGGACCTGATGTTTAACAGATAAGTATGACTATGATAAAAGATATACAATTTAGTGGCGTCCAACGCATCCAGCAGTCAAGGAGCATAAATGGCGGGGACTCGGAGGAGCAGGAGAAGGAAGACCACCTGCGCCACAATTCGACTGCGCCACCGTCGGAGGTTAAAACGATCGCCCAACCCCGAGTGGCACCTTCGAGTCTCTGCCACAGCCAAATCACAGCTCTGCTCTCCACCTCAAACGCTCACTTTTCGTGTACAGGTCTGCACAAATCAGTTCCACTACGGCTACTACCATTAGGAATCCATGATTTACCCCTTGTATAGTTGAACTCGGAGGATCATCTGCGAGAGTTTGAGCGGGTGAGCTTCCGCCTGAACACATGTTCGGTGTTTGTCTTCCAATTTGGCTATCGATACCGTGAAACTTTGGAAGGTATCATGCATTCGAACTCCCCTGTTCTTATCTCGAATCCTGCATGGTATATAAACAAAAGCTAGTGGATGTTTCTCTGCCCTGACGTTCCCTGTGCCTTCTGCCTGAATCGACTCGGAGTCGTTGTCTCGCCTTGCTTCTCTGTTTGAGTTGAGGTTCAAGTTCGGTATGCGAGCGAAAGGTATAATATTGTACGCGCTCGTGGGATGCTGTATGCTTGTTCTGGGTACCAACTATGTGGTTGCGGCATTATTGGAGAACTTTCAGGTCATGGAGGTATGTTGAACTATCTGTTATTCGTTCACCTGAAGATCTAGTTCTAACACAAATCTTAGCCTCCCATCGTCCCCGACGGCCCATCATGCAACACGACCTTGCTCCAATATGTACGCATTCACCGCCCTTACAACGGAATATCCTCCCTACATGTTTATTCTGTGGTGTCATCACAGGATTTTGCGACCTCATACAACGCCCCAGCCATCGTTTCGTATTCTGCACCCACAAAATGCGGCGAGCCAGGATCATGGGCTGCAGTTGTGTTGACCTGGTACTGCAGTACGCCTACCTCTTACCTTCTCCCCTAATATATGGGCAATTCTCCCAGCTTACTGTCCATCTTGGTGTTGGCATACAGCCAGCACGGGGGTTCAATTTGACCGATTGGGCAGCTTGTATATCGATGCGATTGAAAGTATGTGATCGCTGTCCGGGTGAGGGGTATTTCGAACGAGAAACTGACCCTGGTTTCATTCCAGTTTGGCGCACTTCGACGCCTGAACCGCTTGACAGTGGGATCTTCTGGACTGCGTAAAGATATCGTCTTAAACATGAGTAGAGTTACTCACTGTTGCGCAGGACAAAAGACGTCACACAATATATGCCCCTCCTATCTCTTTCTAACGCCACTCTTATGGTCAGTCTACCTCTTGCCCTTCCTCACAAACAAACCATCTCATCCATCACCTCTCCTGCCATCTGCTCTGCGGCCTATACAGCTTGACCTCGGAAACGTCATCTCCGGCGACTTCACAGCGTCCTTCAATGTCACTCTCACCGCGACATATTACCAGCCTACCACCTCCTTCCCGAAACCTACTACGCCAGATCAGATCGTAGGATTGTCGAGTGGGAACGAGACTTTGGCTGCATATTTTGAGACACCGCCTGTTGGTGTGACTGAGGTTGTGATACCAGAGGTAAGCTCGTCTAGAACGGCTTGCAGCAAACTCCGGTACTGAGTAATGCATCGATATCTGAATAGAATACGGCCTCCGCGTTCGTGGAGATATACGCCAGTGGGAATAGCGATGAGGAGGTGGGTGTTGTCCTTCACTAGCCTTGACTGTAATTTCGAGACCTCTCTGCGACAGTTCTGGTACACAAATATAGTCGACGAATACCTCGCTTACGCAGACCCGACGGGAAACGCGTCCACCATCGATATCGGAGGTGGACCGTTTCGAGAGGTGCAGCTTTGGATCGATGATATGTTGGCGGGTGTCGTCTTTCCGTTTGCCGTGGTTTACACCGGGTAAGCAATCACATTGTCGAATGTGCCCTTTGCATGGACGCAACAATGCTGATACCTGCTTGTCGTAGAGGTTTTATCGTGAGCTGGTGGAGGTCAGTCATCCGGCATTGTTCGTAAAATTGTTTGAACTGTATGCTGACTGGAATCTTAGGCCCATGGTCGCGTACGGCGCATTCTCATCCCCAACCTACCACCTCGACATCACACCCTTCCTTCCCTTGCTCACCGACTCACTTCCGCACAACTTCTCACTGACCGTATCTTCCGGTCTGCCCGATACTCCAGTCAACTCTAACTGGTATCTCTCTGGAAACATCGCGCTGGTCCTGGACCTATCTGGGGAAAAGACCACGGGGAGCATCGCGCATTATGAGTCGACGCCATGGGTTGACGTGAAGGGCAGAGCGGCGAAGGATAATGAGACGGTGGAGGTTTGGGTTGAGGCGGGGAGGAAGCATAGGGTCGAGGGGGTGGTGAATACTGGGAGCGGAGGGAATAAGAGTGTGGTTTTTCAGCAGAGCTTGGAGTATGGGAATTACATGAAGTTTTTCGATGGCGGGTTTACCCAGGTTTGAGTCACGACTGACTCCTGTCGTCCTAAGAGCGTTCCTCTCACGCCCTTTTTGTTTCTCTCATCTAGACCGTCAGCCAGTCGACTTTTGGCACCACTACGTCTTCTCACTCGGGATCGACCGTCCTCTCAGAAACATACAGCTTCCCCATCACGCTCTTTTCCAACCAAACCACCTCTTCGAACTACCTCTCCGGCAACCTCTCGCACGGCTACACTCGTTCTCTGCTCTCACCCGTAAGCGGTATATCGACCTTCATAGATACGAATCAGTTCTCAAATGGAAGCGTGAAGCTGAATAGGTCGAGCGAGCTCACGACGGGAGGCGTTGGGACGGAAGTGAGCGGTGTGGCGTTGACGGAGGAGAAGTTTGAGTTTGGGGATTCAAGGGGGTGGGCGTATGGGAGGAATGTTGGTGTTTTTAATTTAACGCTTCTCTGGGATGAGACGAGTGGGAACTTAGCCTTGTGAACGTACCTATTCTGGTTTTGACGATTACCACGATTATTCCCACGAGGCGCCACACCGTCTGTTTCCTACCATGAAAATGCAAGAACAGAGGACGGAGATCCCGATTCCGTACATCGCTATTAACAGAAAAAAGTGTTTCCAATGATAATGTTTCTCGGACGGGAAACGAACAATGAGCGGAGAGGCGTACGTGGCCCAAATGCGCAGCCTCCCATATCAATCATGTTTGCGCCACATATTAGCCTCAGCCCCAGCAGGCGCAGGCGTCATTCTGACTTTCTCCCCAACCACCATCTTCAAAATCCCCTTGTCATCCACATTCAAGGTCCTAGGACCTCCAGACGTCCTGAACTTTGCATCTCATCCGGTCAGACTTTGACGTAGAAATCTCTTTGGGCTAGGACGCGACCGGCGCTTTGCCTGAGGTTGACGTGTTCAAGCTTTCAGCATGGCCTTTGGCCTTACATTCAGGGCTCTTTCCTTATGGATCACGTCTCTAGCTCTTCTTCTGCTACAAACAAGGGCTCAGAGCGTCGACGTCTCCATCAACACGTTCAAGAATCTGCCGGCGAAACTCTACTTTTTCGATGATACAACGGTGCGTGTGCCCACTTATGCTTCCGTGTTCGATGATTGACGCGTCTGGGGTACGCCGATCTGCTGGATAGGTCGTTGCGTACCATGATATTATTGAAGGGAACTTGTGGATATCGGATAATGAGGGCAAGTCCTGGGAGAGGACGGCAGACATCCCGGAGGGGGCGGTGACGATGTTCTTTGAGCATCCGTTCAATAACAGAATGGTGAGTCCTTCATTCCTTAGTGTGACAGAATGTTTGGAGCAGGGTATGACTGCGTATTGGGCGAGGATGCTGGGCGGGTCAAGGGCGGATGGGCTTGCTTGACGCTGCTGAGCTGTGCCTTCACGACCTTATCACCAACATGATGTCGTATACAGCTCTTACGACCCATTCATCAAGACGTGGATGGAGGTTGTTACGCGCCGTCCTAGTCCCCGGACGGAATGCTTTTGGCTGTTTGGGCTTGCGCACATCCCATCGTTGGTGTTGGTGGCGTTAGGAGTCATATGTGATGCCCTTTGCATGTCTGCGTGGCCTTGCCCAGCTCTGCGCAGCATTTCTGCTATAGCTAGGTCGATACTATCACGAGAGTGCATCATATAGCTCACTACTGCGCCGATGACGTTCTGTCCATGCTGCATGCTCATCTTTGTGCTGTGGCCCAAATGCTCATGGGCGACAACGATGTCACATCCTATTCTTGTAAGACTAACCTTTTTTGTGGTATCTAGGGCTTTGCTTTGACGAGAGGGAAAACGCACTACCGAACGGATGACCGAGGAAAAACATGGCGCACTTTAGAAGTGCCCGTACCTCCAGCCTTCATGTCACGGCCTCTATCTTTCCACTCAGATCCCGCCAAGAATGGATACATCCTCTATCAGGGTGTAAGTTGTGTACGACAAGGATGGGGAGAAGTCTGCCACGACGAGGTCAGTCACTACCTTTCTTACCCTCATTGAACTTATGCTGATGGTGGGAGCGCAGACATATTATACGAAAGAAGCGTTCAGCGACAGGGCAGAGATGCTCCTCTCCGAAACCTCACGGTGTCAGTTCGCCCACAGCAGCAAGGACTTCAAGCACGACGCGCACCCAGACCTAATCTACTGCGTCGGCTTCGAGACCTGGTCCACCTCTGGCTCACACTCCCTCTCTTCCAGCCGCCTCTTCTCCAGCACCGACTTCTTCCGTAACGACATCACGATCGAGGACCTCGGCATCGGCAAAAACGCACGCGGCGTCCTCGCGCTCGCCATCGTCTCGAAATTCGCCGTCGTGGCGCTGAAGGACCTCTCACCTGGTGCCGGAAGCGACATGCTGCTGTACGTCTCGGTGGACACGAAGACGTGGGCGAAGGCGCAGTTCCCGCAGTCTTCGAGCGCGAGGCTAAGAGAGAATGGGTACACGATCGTGGAGTCGACGACGCATTCGTTGGCGGTGGATGTGTTGTTACAGGATGCGAGTGCGGTGGGGACGCTGTTTGTTAGTAATTCGAATGGGACCTTTTTCGTGGAAAGTTTGAAGGATACGAATAGGAATGAGATGGGTTTCGTGGATTATGAGAATTTGTATGGGGTAGAAGGAGTGGGTATCGCGAATGTGGTAGGAAATGCGCAGGATGTGGAGGGGAGGGGGGCGGAGAAGCAGTTGAAGACGGTCATGACGTTTGACGACGGTGCGTTACTTCAATCTAACCTACCATTTGAGAAACTTTGCTCATGTTTATACCCGTACAGGAAGCTCCTGGGCACCGATCCGCGCCCCTTCTGAAGACAGCGAAGGACGCCGTATCGGCTGCAATCCCGCCGACACAGAAGAATGCGCCCTCCATCTCCACTCCGTTACGCTCCCGCATAACTTCGGCCGCGTCTTTTCGTCTCCTGCTCCTGGGTTCGTCATGGGCGTCGGCTCAGTTGGCAAATATCTCCTACCGTACGAGGAGTGCGATACGTTCCTCAGCACAGATGCTGGCGTTTCGTGGAAAATGATCCGTATGGACGCTCACAAGTATGAGTTTGGCGACCAAGGGAGTATTTTGGTGGTCATCAACGACGAGGAGTTCACCGACACCGTACGGTATTCGACCGATCTTGGCAGGACATGGTGCGTTCCATCTACCCCTCCTTCCCCCTCTTATCTCCCGGTATACCTCTCATGCATATACTCATTTTCGTCTTCAACGATCGATGCAGGCAATCACTTGATATCGGAATAAAAGTCCAAGCTCGTGCGCTGAGCACGGTTCAAGACTCCACCTCGCAGAAGTTCCTGCTCATTGGTCAACTGAGTCGTCAGGATGCCAAGTCAGACGGACGTTACGTGACGATTTTCCTCGATTTTGCGCCGATGCGGCCGAGGCAGTGTGGCGATGATGATTTCGAGCCTTGGTTTGCGAGGACTGCGAAGGGTAAGGAGTGTTTGATGGGACATAAGGTAGGTTGTTTTCGCCTTGGTTGGATGCGCTTATATCGAAGTTGACGTTGGGTGCGATGGTAGCAATGGTACAGGCGCCGAAAGCCCGACGCGAACTGTTATGTTGGGAATAAGTTTGAGGATCCGATCGAACACGAAGAAAACTGCCCTTGCGAAGACGAAGACTACGAGTGGTACGTCACCTTTGAGGACTGTCTATCACGACTATTGGCGGTTCAGATTCTGATACTGCCTGCCCGTGAATGTAGTGACTATAACTTCGTTCGTCACGAAGGCCAGTGCGTGCCTGTTGGACCCGAACCCATCCCAGCTGGGATCTGTGCCGACCCACGCGGAAATTATCAAGGCTCGTCTGGGTATCGGATTATTCCCGGCAATACGTGCGACAGGGATAGGGGTATCAAGAAGGATGAGAAGGTGGAGAAGCCGTGCTCTCAAGGTTAGCAGTTGTTCCATTTGACACAGTGGTCGGGGCTTACTGACGATGTTTGACTGGTTATAGCTCAGCCGCAAGAGGGAGACGTTATTCATCAGACAGTGAGTTACTCCTGCGGTGGCCCATGTTAGTTCCTCTAACAATATATTGTCAGTTCGAGTTCCCCGCCAAAGTCGTACAGCATGCCTATTTCAAGGACTCTACCGTCAGTATCCTGCGTTCTTTCTCGCAGTGCAGCGCACACTAATCCGTCATATAGACCATCCTCGTTCGCCTGGATGACAAGTCAATGTGGCAGTCCAGCAACGAAGGCTACACCTGGAACCAGCTTCTCCCTGGCACAAACTTCCTGGCATTCTATCACCACTCCTTCACCCCAGACCGCGCCTACCTCATCACCGACACGAAGAGATACCATTACACGACCGACGGCGGACGCTCCTGGAACGAACTCGAAGCTCCCTACCCACCCAACTCGTTCGGCCTCCAGGTCCTCCACTTCAACCCCGTCAACTCCGACTACCTCATCTGGACCGGCAACGTCGACTGCGCCTCTTTTGGTGACGACTGTCATGCCGAAGCCTACTATACTCGGGATAATGGGCGGCGTTGGGATCTCGTGGAGAAGTATGTAAGGAATTGTGCGTGGGCGAGGGACTCGGAGTTGTTGGTCGATCCGTCACAGATCATTTGCGAGTCGTATAGGGATAAGCAGGGCTCGCAGAGGTTCTTTGGGACGAATAATCCGCTGGAGTTGATCAGCGGGACACAGTTCTTTGGGAAGAAGACGAAGTTGTTTGATCAGGTCGTTGGGTTTGCGAAGTTTTCAGAGTATTTGATCGTGGCCGAGGTGAGTGCTTTTTTGAATCTTGATTGGAGTGAAGGCTGACAATATACACGAAATGTGTATAGTACTTGCCACAAGCTAGGTCTCTGGATCTTCAGGTCTCGTTGGATGGAAGGACGTTTGCTGCGGGCATGTTCCCGCCAAACATGCGGCCTGAGCAACATGTAATTCCATGCCATCCCCTTGCCGTACTACAGAAGCTGATGTTGTCGTTTTTAACCAGGCATACACCATCCTCGAATCCAGTACCGACTCTGTTTTCCTCCACATGACGACATCCGAACCGCCAAGTCCATACTGGGGCAACATTCTCAAATCCAACTGGAACGGAACGTACTACGGTCTCTCCATCGAGAACGTCAATCGCGATGAACGTGGCTATGTCGACTTTGAGAAGATGATTGGGCTGGATGGGATTGCACTAATTAACGTCGTTGGTAATCCGGGGGATGCAGCGGTTACGGGCGCGAAAAAGCTGCAGACGAGGATCACGCACAACGATGGTGAGCTTCCCAGTCAATCCATGCATAAGGAGCCAAATTTTGATGTGGTAAATAGGTGGCTCTTGGAAGGCTCTTATTCCTCCGAAAGTAGATTCGATGGGCAGCAGGTACAGCTGCAGCACCGCGGTACGTTCCCGTTTGCTCGTATTCTTGTCCAAGCAGATTCTGACTATCCTCAACCACAGAACTGTGCCCTTCACGTCCACGGCTACACCGAGCGTACTGACCCCCGAGCCACCTTCAGCAGTCCCTCCGTCGTGGGACTCATCATGGCCGTCGGCAACGTCGGCGAAGATCTCGTAGGCTACACCGACAGCGACACATTCCTCTCTCGGGACGCCGGCTTCACATGGGAAGAGGTACACAAAGACGCGCACCTTTGGGAGTTTGGCGATTCCGGATCTATACTGATCATGGCGAACGACGAAGAGCCGACGGACCATGTACTATTCACGACGGACGAGGGCCTCAATTGGAGGGAGTATACGTTTACGGACGAAAAGCTTAGGGTGACGTCGATCGTGACGGTCCCGAGCGATACAAGTAGGAGGTTCATTTTGATGGGGCAGAGTTCGAGGGGGACTGTCGCGGTTCACTTGGATTTCACGTCGTTGACGACAAAGCAGTGTGAGTCTCCGTGGACATGTTCTTCCTACGGCAATATTTGGCGTCGCGGCTGATTTTCTTCGATGCAGGTGTATTGGACGTTCAGGATCCTGGCCATGACGATTTCGAGCTGTGGAGTCCGAGCGAAGAGCGTAATGAGAGGTGTTTGTTCGGTCGTCAGGTTCGTTGTTTTTGCAGATCCTTCCAGAAAAGGTTTGATCTCATATGGCCTGCAGACTTTGTATCATAGGCGTGTACGAGATCGGAACTGTGTGGTCGGCAGTCAAGAAAAGGCCGCAGACAAGGTCGTCAAGAACTGTGCTTGTACCGCAAGCGACTTTGAGTGGTACGTTATTGTCTACACCTCTCAGCTATCTTCTCTGCATACTTATTGTCTCCCGTTTATACAGCGAATTCAATTACGCCCGTAACTCCGACGGGCAATGTGTCCTCGCCTCCGGTACACAACCCCTTCCACCCGACGATTCATGCCGCAACGGCGAAGACTACTGGTACGACCGCACCGCGTACCGCAAGATCCCATACTCGACATGCGAGGACGGCCTAGCGCTTCATCAGGGCTCGAGACACGTCTGTCCTGGGATCAGAGCGCACGGGGCGGCGTTCTGGTTCTTCGTGCTCGTGTTGCCGTTCATATTCACGGCGAGTGTGGCGTGGTGGTATTACAGGAAGAGCGGACTTGCTAGAGGGTGCGTTTTCCTTCTTCTCCTTCTTCGCTGCGCTTTGGTTGGGTATTGTATCGACACTGACACTCGTGCGTATTGGTGCAATAATAGAATGATCCGTCTCCCGGGAGATACGAGACCTGCGTTCAGGTCCGATTCCGGGTTCATGTCGACGCTCGCGTCCGTGCCGTGGTTCATGGTCGGTCTGGCGGGCATCGCGTGGGAGAGGATTTCGTCGACGGCGGAGGGGCTCGCGACGAGTATGAGGTCGAGGAGGGGGTATAGGAATATCCCGGTGGATGAGGACGCGCAAATATTGAGGTTCGAGGACGAGGAGTGAGGGGCGTTTCTCAATTTGTGGTTCGTTGTCGTTTTTGTCGGGAAGTGGCAGGCAGATCGTTGGGAGTGAGGCAATGGGCGGGAGGATGGTTGAGTACTAAGTATTGAGTATTGAATTCCGACTCATGTTGGTTCGTTGGTTGGGCAAGTGTAGTTCCCTGTGATTCAGATCCTGATTCCGGTTTCGAGTACGTTTACATACATCAGTTACAGTTCGTTTGCTTTTGGAGTTTCTTTCTTCCCTATGTATTGTCTCCAGTATGACTATCCTCTGAAATCCTTCCGTTACCTTCTTGAGCTGTATCGGTCAAGATCGCCGAGTCAATGTGGATGGTAAGTCACTGCGACTCTGAGGGCAGTGCTTCCGCGACAACAGAATTCATAATAACACAGGTAAAATAAACAGCGACAACAAAGCGAGGGAAGAAAGAGAGGAAACGGAAACATAAGATCATTCATTCAATGACACCTAGATGATCCTCCTTGATGGTCCCGATAGCGAACTGTGTAGCCGCGGTTCAGTCATGTTCTGCTCTGTGGCGCTACGCGAAGGGAAGACTCACGATTTCGGTGGCGTCAACACGGGTGCCGACGATTTTTAGGCGCACTTTTGTGTTTTTCTCGATGATCTACGTGATACGGAGGGATGTGGCGTTAAAAGGGCGTGTTGGGCGGAGGAAGAAAGAGGAGGGCTGACCTGTTCCTCGGAGGCGAATGATGGTGGATTTGATGTTGGGTCGAATTTCATGTCGGGGTGGATGAGCTGGAGAGCGAAGGTTCGATGTGTGAGGATATAGGCTTTCTATGAAAGGGTGCAAAGCTTACTTGATGTGAAACGAAGACGGTCAAAGGTCCAACGTCCGCGAAGAAACCCATCTTCAAATCACGAGCACCACCACCGACCCTCGGTCAATCCACCATCCTCACCACCTATAACAACAACAAAAACACAAGCCGCGCACCTTGTTCACGTTATTGACCACTCCATCCACGACCTCCCCCTTGAACGGCTTGAACACGATCGCCCGGTACCTTGTCACGAACTCAGCCTGCCCACTCCCTCCGAGCACCATTCCCTTCCCGATATCCAATATCGACACGACGGCGATAATGTAACCAAATTGACCTGAACATGTTCCTTCTACGTCTGAGTAGAGTTTTGATTCAAGGAATTGGAGCATGCGGGGGCCGAAGTAGGAGGGGTGGAGGAGGATGGTGTGCGTGAGTTCTTTCTGGAGGGAGTGCTGGTCAGTTGTGTTGGACAGGATAGAGCAGACAGGAACATAATTACGATGAAGAACATGACGGTGAGTTTTAGACCAGTATATTCGTGGGATTTCGTACAGGTTCGGGAGGGTAACTGAGTTTTCCGAATGAATGTGGCGAGAAACAAGAGCGCTCGACGCGACGCGAACCGTTGAGCCAGCCCGGCAAATTCCGCGCATGGGACGCCACAAGTCGGGCGAGTATATTCGACTCTCCAAGCCTCCATCATCATCCCAATGATCACCGTTCAGCACTGTCGGTCCCCACGCCTGATAAGCCCACCGCTGAAATAACGATCATGAATCCACATCGTCTTGGGTGCTCTTATACACTGCTATTGCTTTCTTGCCGTCTTAGCTCAGGATGAACTCGATGGACTGCTTCCGACGAACAAAGCCTATCGCTACTTGCAGCTTTCCATCCTCGTCTTTTAGCTCGATTGTCTGTTCTGTACCTTCTATCTATGTGCTGTGTTTGTGGACCAACAATTTACAAAACGTACTCGAACATATCAAGTATTGTCTGACTTCAAGAAATACGACGGTGAAATGAGGAATGCGACTTCTGATTCTTACCGGCAGCGTTGTGCTACGTGTTTGACCAGGATCTCGTGCAGGAAGTCTCGCTCGATTTGTTCGAGCTAAGCGACTTGCAGTTTGCTACATGACTCTTCGTACCGTTCCAATCTCGTCGTGCTTCTAGTGTTTCTCGGAGTGTACGTGCTCGAAGATCACGCCGATGCGCTTCTGGTGTGCGGAGGATAATGGAACCTGAGAGAAATGGAATGGCTCCGAACGGGAGAATAGAGATTGTCAGAGGCTCAAAGTCGCTGGGTCGGACTCGAAGAACACGCGGGTTTGAGTTGTCTACATTTTGTATCGCCCTTACACAAACTAGCGGTTGTAATCTCTCACTCTTCCGAATACACGCGAGAATTGTGCGCCTACTGTCAGCACAAACGCTTTTGGACCGAAGACTGCCTCCGAATATGTTACAAAGTTCCCGATTCACGGAGACTGTACGTTGAACTTGGGCCACATCCGAATCGCGGCGCCACACGAACTCTAAGTTATTAAGTACTTGCGTACCGACGCGGAAAAAGCGTCGAGTCCAGAGCTTGTTCCTCCTCTCACAACAAATCGTCTCGTCTTTGTCTCTATACCCAAAGGAAGATCATTACTACTCTAGGAAATAATTGCTAGGAGGTCCAACTCTTTTCCGAGAAACGACCCAGACGTTGGCATGCGGTCTTATGGTGCGTGGATCGATGGTACGGAGGCACGACGTCCGTTGCCAACTCACGCAAGGATCACGCATGGTACAGGTACAGACACAGTGAACACCGAACGGAAGGGCCGTTTGTTGCCCCGTGTTCCTGAATACACAGAGAAATACCGACAGATGGATGGATAAGAGAACAAGAGTCCGAAGTGCCAGTGGATACGGTAGAAAAGATGAAGAAATCAGATCGGTGCGTTTACTTTACCGCTCTCGACGCCGTTTCACCCAGGATGGAGTACGAGTTGTGTACGTATGGACCTACAATGAGAATGGGAGAACGCGAGAATGGATGGAGGTGATAAGACATGGAGCGAGTTGGCAGGTGCGTGTGTTCAACCCCCGCTTCAGACACTCGTTGCTTACCATCAGAACGTCAGAATAATACAGGAGGTACAGAATCAAATCACAAAGTGACGATCTCACATATGCAGTGAAGAAAAACAGAGCCGGGCCCAACGGGTACGCGTCCCTCAAGTTGGCCGAAATTCAGTATAGACAAGGGCCTGCTTCTCCATGCCCCGGCGGACGAAGGAGGACACCGGATAAAATGAGGCCAGGAAAAGAAACAGGTGAGTCGAGCTCCGAAACAATAAATAGTCCATAATTCCCTTCCTCTAACGTGAAATATACCGCCAAACCCGCCCCCCCCCCCTACTCGGAACTATCTCCCAACCCCTTCACTTCGAACTCCCCTTCGAATCCTCCCTTTCGAATCCCTCACACTCCGTTCAGTCTAGTGACCTCTCTCCTGCATCCTCTATGCCTCCTCACCCTCCCCAGAATTTTCACTCAGCCCCAGGATCGGTACTCCCTCTCAGAGCACGTCACCCTTCATGGTGGCCGAGCGAAACTGGTTAGCTCGCTGCAGCTGACGGCGCATTGCCGTCAGTCTGAGCTGCTATACCTATCGTTTGGTATTACCTTGAAGGATTCGGGCTCTGGTTGGTGATCCGCCGTAGCGGCCACGTCCCCTTTAGCCGTCACCCCCCGTGGTGTGTTGGACCTCCTCCTCTTCTTCTCCGGTCCCTTGCTCTCGTCCCTCCCCTCGTCCTCGCTCCGCGCCCTCCTCTTACCCGTCATAGCAGACTGCAACGGTTCTTTTTTGACGTCGATTGCCCGTTGAGGTGCGATTTGGGCGTTGTAACCACTCAAATCCCATCCGTCGCACTTTTTGTTGTACGTCCTTCTTTTTCCCCCCTGAACACTGGTCTCGGGCGGTAGCTCGATAGGCGTCTGGTCGGGCATCGAGTGTGCGATAAATCCCCCTTCTTTCTTCGCCTGCTCTGTGTGAAGACTGAAGTGAGGGGCCTGTTTCTGTTGCCAGAACTCTGATAGGCCTTCTAATGAAGCGGGTGGAGAGTCTGTCGCGGGGCGGCTATGAGGTTCCTCCCTTGGTGCCTCCGGGACCCGCTGTCGAATGGGGTGACCTCGAGAGTCGTCATCGCGGAGGGTTAAATGAGGGGACGGTGCCCGCGTCTCGGTCGAGGCTGGGGCGTCGTGAACGACAGGCTGGTGCGGGGTGACGGGCACGGGGGCATCTGTATGTTGAGGCGTGCTGTTGGCCGCGACCTGCGAGTGGAGTGCGGTAGCAGGCTGGCTAAGAGCCACGTACCTAATCCCATCTTGCGCCTCCACGGCCTGCGTCTCAACGTGGCCAGTTTCCTCGGAGGACCCCTCGCTGAGTGCGCGGTCTATCTCATCCGCCAACTCGGGCGTGACGACAATGTCACAGCCCGGGTTCTCGAGCCAGTTGCATAGTCTGTCTAAGTCGATATCGTCGTGGAAGTCGGCGCTCGACGTCGTGGTGGGGGTTTCCAGCTGGCATGGGATGGGGCTATTGACGAGATCATCGTCGCGAGCAATAGCCGGCGGGCTAGGAACTAAGTGCGAGGGTTGAGAGCTCGCTGCGATCTCGTGGTGTTCTGGGACGGCGCTAGGAAGGTGATATGCGTTCGTCGCGGTCATTTGTTGGTGGGGTAGGATGGTCTGTGGTATACGAGGTGCAAATCCCATGTTCATGGAGATGGGATTGACGAACGGAGCTGCGAGGGTGGTTGGGTTAGGGGAGAGACCGTTCGTGTTTTCTCTCCTGCACAGAGATACCTGTGCGATAAATGATTACGTCGTCAGCCAGGGAGTGTAGAAGAACAGAGAAGCGAGAGAGAAAGAAAGGCGTACCCCGACTTGTGTGGCAAAAGTCTTCGCCAAAATAGCCGTAGTGCTTTCTGCACGGGCGAACGCACGATGATGGTGGTGTGTTCCGTATGAAGAGTTTGCCGCCGTGTTGACCTGCTGTATCTGTTCATCAGTTTCTGACCCATGTTTCATTGTAGGACGGACAGACGAACCTGGGCCACACCCGGTGTCGATGCCACACCATCGCCATTATAGAGTCCCGATGACTTGGTGCTCTCCTTGAGGTTCGTATTAAACTGAGAGGGATGGAAGAAGTCACGATCGATGGACAAAACAAAGATGGAAGGAGAATATAATGGCAATGGTCTGTGCTCACCTCTTGAGGATGACTTGCCCCGCGCTGCGAACGCGTCGCGCGTGTCGCGCTAACCTGGACATCTGAAGGTTGGAATCATTCAGTGGGGCGATCAACACGATCTCGGCGCAAAGAGCGATGCTGAAGAAGAGGACGAACATTGAGCTGATGTCGACCGATGGCCCATGGGGGCGACGGTGTCACTTGCCACCCTTTGTGTCTTTAGGGCTCCTTGCTCGTGAGCGCTCTGACGTTGGGCGCGGATGGTCATCGAATGGTAAGAAGTTTGGAAGCTCATGTTTTCGATTGTCTGATTTGTTGTGATCGCTTTGCGAAGCGGTTGGTGGTGGTGGATTGCAAGAGGATGCTGTTGAGGGAGAAGGACAGGATGCGCGTCGCGCGACATGATATGCAGCCAACACGATCTCGTGACTCATTCGACGTCCGCTCCCGGCTTCACCCCGTACATTGTCTCCCATTTTGCCCAGCGCGCGGTCCTTTTGCTCTCCTTTTATGGCCTCTAGTTTTGTTTTCCGTACTCGTGAGTCTCGGACGTCTCTTAAATAAAATAAAACGTTCTTTTTGAGGAACGAAAATAGCGATGTTTTTGACACTCCTGGACGACATCATGGCCAAAAGGGAAGCCAATGACCCTTTGGACTCGAGTAACGATAATGGCGAGTTCTCTCTCTCTTGCCACTCTGCTCATGCCACTTGATACAGGTCTTTTCACTTGCAGAACCCTGATGCCGTTCAAACTGTAGGGCCTTCAGACTGTAGTCTAGTGTCGGAACGACAACAACGGTAGATACGAGCTTCTACTTGCGAGTCAGCGAGCCAGCTATGTATCCTATAGAGTCAACTCCAGCAGTGAAAGCAGCGAGCATCAAGGGTTAATAAATCGCCTTCATTCGACAGTAGCAAGGAGGATGCGATAGGTCGACATGTCTAGACGAAGTACCCCAAGGCGACCGGTCGTGAGCAAGGCTTCGAGCCATTCCCAGAAGCAGTCTCCAGTAATTTATCAAGCACAAATCCATGTCTAGTAGGGGATCCGGACAAACCGTGAGCATTGCTACGACAGGACCATATAGCTCCATTGAGCCAGAACAAAATGGCTTCCCATCTTAACCTGTCCTACGTAGATCATGCTCATCAATATCTCAACATTATTGTTCAAGCTAAGAGACCTAGAGTAAGCTACACCCCGTCATCTTTGTCGTTGGATGTGGTCGTAACTCTGGGGTTTCTCGGGGCGAACGAGCTATTTCTCTCCTTACTTCGTCACCCATCGAGAAACATAT